TAAAGGAGCATTTTAAGTAAGTATAGTCATGTTTTTTGTAGTGAAGAAAGAAAAATAAAAGTTTACAAAATGTCAGAATTTTATTGGGATAGACAAACACAAAATAGTCCAAATGTGAAGTGGGAGCAGACAAAAATCTGAAAAATGTAGCAAGTTTTTATATTTTTCTCGCATTGACTCTGAAATCCAGTGCCTCCTACTTTCCTTCAAAATTCGCCCAAATCAATAAATCGAATCCACGTAGGTGCAGTTTAATCTGAATATAAATCTATTCTTCATCGTTTATTTACTCTCATTTCAAATAAATAAAACTCTCAACTTGACTTTCTCTTCTCAGACAGGATGCTGTGAGAAACTCCTTCATCCCAGCAGCTCTGATTAAAGTTACACCGTTGCTCTTGGGACATAACTGCAGCGTTTTGAGCAAAGTCACAAGTTAGGATTTAAAACTTTAACAAGACCAGATTTAATCCCCTTTAAGCTGCTATTTCTGAGTCCTGGAAGACAAGGAGACACAAAGTCGGCGTCCCTCTGGAAAAAATGTCAACATGACCCTGAAGAAGGCACTTCAAACCCAGCTGCTGTGAGACGTTATGGGTAAATGATGGGAAAAAACTCACTATCTATATGTGACAAATAATACATTTAGAGTAAAAGATTTTTAATCATTGGGTTCTGAAAGTGAATAAAACTTTGAAAGTGGACTCCAATGAACTTATGGTTCTTGACTTGAGAGATACGGAGGCATATCCTGGTGAGAGGATATGAAATATTGCCTGTCTTAATAATTAATTGTTATTAATTGAAACACGTTCTTGTCCTTGCAGGACATCCAGGACAGGACGCATGTCCTGGATGTCATTACAGGAGGGTGGTCCTGTGTCTTTACAGACACACAGGACAAACAAACAACTGTAAGATCAATTAATAAAACTGTAGAAATTCAAAGATTCTTGATAAATGATGATTAGCAGTACTTGGTTAAATTAAAAATGAATGAAATGTAAAATGAAACAATTTAATTTTGTTTGGCAACAACAACAAAAAAAACAATAAAATTTTTTAAGTGAGTGGAGACTTAAATTTTTAATAACTAAAACAATTAGTAAAAATAACCACAACAAAACTTATACTAAACTAATACAATCTAAACTTATGTTTGGTGTCAATGAACTCTGCATACATCTAAAATAGTTGTTTCTTTTATTGTGCTAATACAATCTAATTTGATATAAAAACAATAAACTGCTTAAAGAATGATAATGTCTGATTTATGATTCAATAAGAAGTGTGATATTATCTCCACCTAAACCAACAGGCAGCAGATTGTTTATTGAGATGTTGTTGATAAACATCTTCAGAGCAAAGTAAATTTTGGTTTGTTTGCATTTATGCCAAAAATAAATGAAGTACCAGTCAGAAAATATATACAGTAGAAAACGTATGCACTTTTTCCTGTAAGTGGTTACAATTATGTCTAAGATTTATAAAAACGATGGTTAATCGCAGGACGAGTAATAAATCCAGGCAGCAAATCATTCTGAGTCACAGGCAGTTTGAAATACCTTTTGGGTCTTTTAAGGACCTGCTTTTGTAGAGCTGGATAGCAGCACGGATCCTCTTGATTCACTGTTAGGAGATGAGTAGGACAGCGATGTGTTAAAATGTGCCGCCATCGTTAAACAGGGCCTTTACCAGTTACCATGGAAGCTCATTCACAGGCAGAAAAAAAGGCTTGAGAGGCTTACTGCCATTTAATCAGCCACTTCAGGAAATCCATGATGATGACATCAGGTGACGATGAAGCCTGGTCCTCATCACAGACACAGTGTAACCTGTCACCATAAAACATGTTGAATCTCACATTCCAGTTCTCCTCTTCCATCCTTTCTGCTACTAGTTTCTTCTTTGTCGTTTATGCATTTGGTTCTTTATACACTTATCTCAGTGATACGTGTGGCAGCGTGTGGGAGTCTGGACAAATTTATCTTCATGTTTCAAGTGTGGCTCAGACTAGCAGGGGTTTTGTAGGAGAAGACAATCCAAAACTATAATGCAAGACTTGCGTTCTCTTTGTGGCTCGTTTAAATCTCTATGTGGGCAGCTACCATTTTGCTGTCTCAAGTAGCTTTGTCTGCTCTGCAGATTTTCTAATGAGGGGCTTTTGGAGGAGGATGACAGGGCATTCTGGGAGGAGGGGCTTTCAAAATAAACCGGCGACGCGCTGTTCATGGATACACTTAATGCCAGATACCCCCCTACTCAGATGCCCTGCTGGCAGCTTGGCAGCAGTATTAGGATGGAGAAGGGTGGTATTAGTCTGAAACTCTCATTATGTCAGATATGCTGAAAACCTGTAATCCAGGCTCCAAATGATAGGGGAGGAATTAAAAAAAGAAAGAAAGAAAAACTCGACAACAAGGCTGCAGAGTCTCTTTGTTTGTACAATGTGGGGCACAAAGTGAGGAGCTTCTGGTCTCTTTATGTAGCAGCAGAAAAACAGGAAACAGCAGCAGAGATTTGTCGAAACCTGCAAACAAAAATGAAAAGAAGATGAGTGTTTGTGGTTCTAGTAAAACTGAAAGTAAATATCAGACCCTAAAAGTTTAGTTGCTTAGTACAGAAAAAAAAATCACAAAGAAATCTCAGCAGACAGGACCTTTATGTTACAGGTATTTTATGTAAGTGTTGCTCAACTGCTGCTTGAAATGCAGACAGTTGTTCAAATCTTTCAGGTCAACGAAACTCCTAAATGTCGAGGGTAATGTCTCCTGCTGTGTTTTATAGTCGAGGTGCAAGCAACCGAATCAAGAATAATGAGTACAAAAGGTAACAAGGCAAGCAAACAGAGATCCGGCTACCACTGGACTGAGCAAACAAGCCCACAAGCAGAGTGGATATACTGGGAGGTATTGACTTGCCTTGACTAAGAATAGAAAACAAAGTGAGGAGCTTTTACAGAAGCACTGGGGACATCATGAGGGCACAACAAGAACAACAGTAAAACTCAAAAAAGCATCACAGCCTCTTGGCCTCTGCAGTTTTTGATCTTTGTCCACTTTTTTTTTCAGTTATGAAAAGGACTTGAATCCCCAAAACAGGATTTAGAATAACAATCGGTACAAATATGGTGCAATATAAACTACAGTGCTACTATATTGGGTCACATTTTAGACTTTTGTTTTTGTTTAACTCCATAATTATCAACAATTGCTGAACTATCAGGAGAAATGCTTTAGTTTTGATATACTGAATACATTTCAGAGCTTCTATCAGGTAAAAACCATGCAGACTCCTTTAACTACCAGAGATCATCATAATGTTTTACACTTGCTTCTGTGCATATTTACCAAAAACACCAAGACAGTTTTAAGGAAGAAAGTTTTGATGCATTTTCATGGTCCAGTCTGCAATATAAATCTACTGTGGTGCAGCAAATATATAAAAACATTAATTTCAGAAAAATTATGACTCACAATTATGATCTTCTTTCTCTACAAGTTTTTCAAATAAAATGTGAAATGAAGACTCCCCATCCTCTGCATGAATATGGGTCCATTTACACCAAGAATCTGTATGTTTAATCATTAAATGTAAAGATTTATGTTCTGTTTTTGCAGTAGTGTATATGTCCTGCTGAAATCTCTTAACATTTGTCAGCAACCACTGACCATGGGAACAATTCAGTAGTAAATTAGTATATCCGACTATTTGCTAAATGAAAAGGGGAGAAAGAATGTTGCAAGGCTGCCCTCTGCTGGACGCTGTCAGCGGTGCAGAGCAGCTGCATCGACAGGGAGTTCAGAGAATGATGGATTCATACTGGATGTTTTTTTATTTATTTATTTTAAAAAGCCAAAAGCATTTTAAATTTAATCAGTCCAAAGACAAAAGGTGCTCTTGTTTTTGTTCTTTAAAAATAAACTGTAGAGGTTACTTTATTATGTGTTGCTGATTTAGTGAGTTATATAAAAATTGTTGTCTGAAAAACTGCTTGGAAGTTCCTTAAATTTGTGTTATGCATTTTCCAGGCACATAGTCCAGTATTAAAGCACAGTTGAGTAACTATTTGTTACCTTCATTTATTAAAAGTGATGCATTTTTAGATTTGAAATATATTTATATACCAAATAGAAAAGTTGAAGAAATTTAACTTCTTAATTTGATGCCTTGAAATTGTGCCTATAATAAAGAGTTTTCTCTTTCCAACACGGCTTCTTCAACAAGTTGTGTTGTTGAAGAAGTCAACAACACGACACGACATTTTGTCATGGTGCCGTTATTGTCAAAATGGAAGAGAAAAAAAACACATCATCACAACCATACTCATCATATGGTTGTGATGAGTATTACAACCATAATGCCCTAGGGTTGTAATATAACCCTATGGTTGTATGTAACTTTTACCAAAAAACTCATATTTTTTATATATTTTTTGTATAAAACAAATATCTTTACATTAAGCAATTTGGCATAATTTTTTATTAGCAAAATTATTTGGAATGATTGATGCTGAAAGTTATTTTGGAAAAACATCAGGATTATTTCTAGATACAATAATAATAATAATAATAATAATAATAATAATAATAATAATAATAATAATAATAATAATAATAATAATAATAATAATAATAATAAAGTACTGGTGTAATAATAATAAAGTACTGGTTGTAGTTCAATAACTTATTGGTTATTTCATTAATTGTTTATTTTTATCTTACATTTTAAAATTACAAATATTTCCACTCATGTGCTAAATTTGACAAAACAGATGAAAATGTTACAAATACAATATTTTGTATTATTATTATTAGCAGTAGTAATAGTAGTCGTATTATTTAGTAGTAAACAGTTTTTATTAGTTGTAATTACTTACTCAATGACTCATAAATCATTAATAAAACATCAACTGAGGCCGCTGCAATAAAAACAAACAAAAACTCTTTTTCACGTGGTCCTTTATTGTGAAAGGTCCATGCAACCGGAAGTGTCCCAGGCAACCTTCCCAGCTGGGCTCAGACAAAGCGGAGAGGGTGATGGTAGCAGAAGAGGCGCGTCGACCGCCGGAGAGCTGCTGCCGCCGCTACCGCCGCTGACCGGGACTGAGAAGATGTCCGTGGACGAGGTGTACGTGTTCCGGCCCTTCAAGCTGATCGCGCTGCTCTGCGTCTTCCTGGCGCTGTGCCTGGACGTGGTGGCTCTGCTGAGTCCAGCCTGGGTCACCGCCGAGCATTTCTCCCTGTCTCTCTGGGAGTCCTGCTCCCAGTCCGAGGCGCGGCGAGCCGCGGAGGAGGCTGCGTGGAGCTGCTTCTCCACCCTCACGTCTGGTAGGAGGAGGAGGAGGAAGAGGCTTTTGTTTGTTGTTTGTTTCTGCTGGGTTATTTTACAGAGGTTGTTGTCTTTAGTTTTCTGGAATGACTTGGAGCTTCTGGTGCTGAACACTCCTAATATAATCAGATTTTTTTTGGCGCAAAAAGCTTCTAAAAATAGAGAGCAAGACCTGAATGATGTTGTTTGATGGGAAAAGGTGTGAAGTCTTTACTGCTGCTCATTTAGGAAGCCACTTGGTGTTCTTTTGATCAAAAATACCACAAATCAGGAAGGTTATTTACTAAATAATTTGCTAATCTCACCTTGAAAAAGATGCACCTGTGACAAAATCCCTGTCTTCTTATTGGTGTAGTTTTAAGAAATCTTTCAGTGTTTGGTAACACTGAAAGATCTTAACTCAAATAGCATCTCTAAGAAATATACTGCTTTCTATTATTATTATGCTTTCTAAAAGCTCCTTTTGCCAGGTAAAATTTGCTTTATTTACTTTTAGGAAGAGACAGTAAAGGTTGAACTGAACTTTTGGTTCATGTATTTCAAATCTTGATGGTTGGACATTGTTTTTCTGTAATTTTAGTTTGTGTTTTAGGGAAATGTTCAGTGAAAGGATGAACTGTGACTGGTTTCTGCAGATATGTTTTTAAAAGCTGAGTTGTCCACATCAAATTTAGTCAATATCTCTTTCCAAAAAGTGCAGATATGTCTGTCTTTCTCAAACTATTTAAATTAGAAGCACAGGCAACATTTAAAACGGCCAAACTAAGAAAAGGATTTGAAGTTGACGTAAATTGTATTCAGCATCATATGTTAGCAACTAGCATTGCTGGCTTTAGCAGCTGTTGCTGTCTTGGTGTGGACTCCCTAGAGAATATTTTAAATCTAAAAGTTTTCCACCGTTAAGTAAATCAAGCGTGGCCCATAACACTCATTGTGTTTTGTTTTATTTTGTTTTGCAGCCACAGATTAGAGCTGACGACCCAATGTACTAGCTGATTTGACATTGAATTCCTTAAAGAAAACTCCACCGTAAACATCTCTGGCACATTAAACTCCAACCACCAGAAGGATTTAACGTGGTTTAAATTGTCACGTTCCACATCCTCCTCCTTTCTGGCTTCAGAGGGGCCAAACCTGGACTTGCTAAGTCAACATCCAGCACCAGTTTATCTCACAATCCTCTCCAGAAACAAACAGGGACCTGCAGCCTGTGGAATGTGTTGGGGTGAATAGGAGGCGGGCCCACTGCTTTGAGCTCATTAAAACAACAGTGGAGTGGGGCGTGTGGGGGTCAAAGGTGGAGATCTGCAAAAGGCAACAAAGGGCGATCATCCACATGTCCTCATGCTCTCCCAAAGGTTCGTTGACTTATTTGATTTTGGAGTGACATCATTGTCCCAAAGAAAATCACATGCAGGTGACTGGATTGATTAAAAACAATGTTAGAGAAGAAGCATACTTGTAATGTGAGAACATTGTTTCTCTGTGTGTCAGAGCAAATATGTAACCACATAATGGAATAAAGATGGTGAGAAAAATATCTTCTGGAGTTTCAGCAAACTACGTTCAGAGAGCAGTGATAAAATGTTTCTTTGGAGGACAAGAGGGGGATGTAAAAACAACTCGACTTATCCTTTTATGGTTTGGGTCAGAGCTCAAGGCTTGGTTAGATTGTTATGGTCCAGTCTTAAAAAAAAGAAGAAAAATAGGGTAAACGTGCAGTTTTATCCGCCTGCGGTTGTGGAGGTATTCTCAGGAAAAATATGTTACGATGGAAAGAATGTCTGAGTTTTACTTTTCTGAAAGGAGCAGCAGCAGTTTGCTTGGAGTTAGACTATTGACATTTTGTTTTACAAGTCACCAAGGATGACTGTAAAAAGGGATTTGCCAACACTAGAGCACCAAAATCTCCAAGTAGAACGTCCTATACTTGTTGATTTCCACGTGATAGCTGCAGTTGTGCTACGTTTGTGAAACTTTCCCACGTTCACTCCTTCAGAGCCTTCTTAAAAGATACGATTCTTCTTGTTCACCAGCCCATACACAATCCTCCACAGGTTCAAAGCTAAAGAAGCTTTAGCAAACTTTTGGATTTTTCACATTCCTGCTAGAGGAAACATTTGGACTCAACCTGGTTGTATGAAGAACAGCAGTGGAGAGATTTCTGCTACATTCGGTTCTCGAAGCCTAAAGGCACTGTTGTTCCTTCAAAACTTGCATTAAAAGTATGTCATTATTTACCAAATGACACTTCATGACAACAGTCATAAGCATTCATGAAGACTCCTTCATGTTCATGTCAGGTTTTGTCATGCTAAGGACATATCAGTGTGCATAAGACGCACCCAAAAGGTAAAATGTTACCCAACATCCTGGTTTTCCTAATATTTTAATTGCATGTAAGTAAAATGTTGAGACCCCAATATCAGTTACCTTCTCTCTACAGTAATGCGTACATTGTTTTTGCGGCTTGTTACTCGTGTTCCTGATTCTCTCCTGCAGGCTTGAGTCTGTTCTGCTCTGTTCGGTTCTCTGTGTAGGATTAGCACTTCCTTTGTGCTGTTTGACACAACGCTTCAATTCAGCCGCGTTGCGCTCTGAATCAGGTGTTTTGTTGTCAGAGTGGGATGCTCCTCTCTAACCTGCCTGTGTCCTGTCCTGCAGACTGGCAGATCGCCACCCTGGTGCTCCTGGGGGCCGGCGCCATCGCGACTCTGGTGGCATTTCTGGTGGCCCTCATTTCCCTCTGCTGGGGTACGAAGAGGCAGCACTACCGCATTGTGGCGATGTTCCTCTTCACTGCAGGTGGGCCGGCCTTTACGGCTCTCTTTGAGCGAGCGCATTTGGGGATGGAAGGGACAACTGATTTGCATTCACCACAATAGTTTCTGTGCTTCCACGTTTTTCTTTTCTATGCTCCCATTAAACAGAGGCGATGCAGAAATGGAAAAAAAGAAAACCATCAGAATGAGGTTTGGTGGTTGAGCTCATATTTTTGTGAGGTTCAGTCTGGAGAGTTGCTGCCGCTGCTTGAGCCAAGAAACGGCAGCCGCAGAATTTCCAACCCTACCAGCTAAAGTAAAGGGGTGGGGGAGCCATTAGAGACAGCTCACCCAGCATTGCCTCATACGATGGAGTCCTGCTTTGTGGAAAGATCTTTTGGGCCAAACCAAACTCTGTAGCGGAGGATCTAAATCTGAAACGTGTAATTAGGAAGAATCATGAAGACACATTCTTCCATGAAGACTATAGAGACTGTAATAACTGAGTCATAACTCAAGCCTCATTTAGCTTAGCAGTAGTGAAACCCTAACCACTCACTATCACAGCACGTTACTCACACTGACTTCAAGCAGTGGCAACTTCCAAAATAAAGTCAAATTAAATAAGAAACAGATGTCCAGCACACTACAAATAAACCTAATCAGTTTCAGAGTGTCAAGAAAACTTTATGCTTCTCAGCATGGAAACTTTATGACACGTTTATTATGTGCTAAATTAAGTCCAGGGTCAAAAGGCTTTTAATTCCCCATTTGTACGCTGCAAAAACACAAAATCTTACCAAATAGTTTCTAGTGCAAATATCTTCGTAAACCTGAAATAAGGCAAAACTAACTTACAAGTTACTTTCTATCAAAACATAGAGACTTGTTTTAGGTGAATAATTTCATAATATTGATGAAAAAGTGCTTGTTTTATTGGCAGAAAAATTCACTTATAACATGGGAAGAATGTCGTCTTCTAAGTGAAATAATTGTGTTTTTGCATTGTATGAGGATAAAATACACAAAAGTTGGAACTCTCTGGAAAATTGGTCAAAATATGCAAAATTGAACTTTTTCACTAGATAAATCCCTAATTTCCTTAACTTTGGGAGATCGGTGATGAGTGATCTACATACATTTGTTGGCCGGAAAGTTCAACTTTGGTCTCCCGAAGCTCTTTCTTCTACATGTTTGTTGTGTCTCCTTCATTTAAAATTGATAACTGCAAATAAAACTTCTTTCAATGATGGCTTTCCTTTGACAACCAATTCATCTATCTGAGCTGCAGATCTCTTCTAAAGCAACCGTGGGATAAGCCTGTTAGATTAGGTAAGCGGTTCATACCCAACAGCAGCATACTCTTTCCATTTTCAGATAACGTTAAGGTTCTTTGCAAGCTTTTCTAAGGTTGGGATGTTGTTTTATATCCTAGCCCTGCTTCAAACGTCCCCTTAAGCTTCCTGTTTTGTTCCCTGGTCTTTATGATGCCATTTAGTCACTAATGTTCTCTAGCAAACCTCTCAGGCCTTCACACAACAGCTGGATTTAGAGTGAGATTAAATTACACGCATGCTGTGGTGGAACGTCATTTTATTTATGGGTATCTGATTAAAGGCGGCTGAATATAAGTGGAGGCCCGACTTCTCAGATTTTTATTTGTTGAAAATGTTTCTGTTCTTTTAATTACGAGTGTGAAGGCGGTGACAAGACTTTTGTTAAACGTCCGCTTGAGCTTCCTGCCTTCTGCCATGGTCTTTATGTTACAAACATAAACCATTTTTCAGCTTTCCACCATGAATACAGAGACATCACAGCTTTATCCACTTCGTTTGATGATAAATTTCCCAAATTCTTGGCAATTTTACACATACAACATTAATCCAAGGTTGTTTATTGACCTGTTAACACTTAGCCTAATTAGCGAGCCGGACCGAAGGGGGCATCCTGACCCGGCTGTTTGTCTTTCAAAACTCCAGTTTGTACAAAACCTGCAGAAAAATTCAAACTGACATAATTAGTCAAAGTTTTGAAAATCAAATGGGTGTCTTTGACTTTACTATGAAAACATTTGGTCATTGAACTTTCACAGGGATCTGAGCTCAAACGCTGAGATCAAATTTCTGAAGTCTGCTGTTCTGGGCTTTTGGGCCACATAGTTCACATATTACAACACAAGTCTGTAGTGAACCGCTGTGGATCCTGAGCTCAGGCCATCACTCATCAGAAACATTTGGCGCAGTTTGAAATGAACTACAACTGAGAAGAAACACGATCAGCATAAATATGGAGGGGAAAAAAAAGCTTTTGCTGCCTGAAATAGCTTGGTCTCCTTTTGATCAACCACAATTAATGGTGTGTTTGCAAAGGCATCACAAGAAGTACCCGGCGGCCATCACGGAGAGTAAACAATGGCCGCAACCGTGGCAACACATGCAGGAAATTCATTCAAACAAGAAGGGGCGGTTTCTGGATCAATGAAATCTAATTGATGGACTAGACCCATCACTGATGCTAGTTAATGAGCGCTTAGGCTGCCAGGCATCTCTTACAACAAGTTACTGCTTTTTCTAGTAAAACGCAAAACCACTTCAGTTGGGTCATGTTTGGGAAAACATGGTTGTTGTTACTGGCAAAGGAAGAATTTCTGTTTGTTCTTTTTCACGATTAGTTTGTGCTAATGGCCACCGGCTTCGAATTGATGAAATAAAATTTGTCACGGCTCGGAAATTTTATTTTTATTTACGTTGTTGCTCCAAAAGCAGTGGATGGTGAGGAATTTAGGAAAAGGTACCAAAGTTCACAAATTGTGTTTTAAATAGTTTACGTTTAGTCTAAATGTAGACGACACAACTACAGTGGAAGTGTGGAGATTAACCCGTATTCACTTCTCAGAATGACCTAGTCAAAGTCCAGACTTCAATCAAATTGAAATCCTGTGGCAAGACTTGCAGATTGTTTTTTGTTGTTGTTTTATGATCCAATTATCTATTTTGCAAAAATGATAAATCATGCAGATGGAAATTATTGAGCTTGTTCTAATATATTATGCAATTATTTGATTTATTATTTATTATTTATTGTTTATTGCGATGGGCCTGGTTGCAACTTGACAAAATGTGAAAGTAGATAACAGACTTTCTCAAGCCTCTGTAAAACGGAGCAAAATGTAACTTTCTAACACTGAATGGCATTGAAAAGGAAGCTTTGTATTGTTCTCTCTGTGCAAACAGCTGCCACAAAGGAGCACTGTAGTCCTGTCAGTGGCTGAGGCTCTCCCTGTTATACATTTACTGCCAAGCGTGGGAATGCCGTGTTATTCCTTCCTGTGTGTAATTGCCTTAAGAGCCTGGAGAGAAAATGTCTCCATACAGACTCAGGAGTCCTCAGCAGAGCAGAGCAGAAGGGCTGGATTGTTAAAAGCCTCTTGGCAGGAGGACTGTGACTCTCTGGTATTTATTTTCTTTCCAGAAATATGACCTCAGCTCACTCTGCCGGGCCTCAGCGAACACGGCCCGGGTCTCCACTGCGTCTTGTAGGAAGGAAAGGTGGAAACACCTTTAAAGTCCTCAAGAGTCGCCCAGCATGCGTGCAAAGGAGCGAGCGCAGTGTGAATTATTTTGCGTCCGAATGGTGGGGAGGAAAGGATGATTCATGACGTTACAGCAAAAGCCTTCGCCCATATGTGAGGCGGAGATTAAGAGAATAACGGCTGATGTTTGCGACTCTTCACACTTCCTTGCGTGAACAAGCCTTATGTTGTGGGTGCCAACATCTGCTCTAAATGTCTGTCGCTGTCGGGGAGAAGCCACTTCAAGCAGAAACAGAATCCACCGTCTTTAGAAAAACCTTTTTATCTGTGAAGTTGTAAGGTATGCGTAGTAATAATTCACAACACACCAAACTAATTTAAGGCCTTTTTTGCTTTGTGACTTTCAAGTATTGGCATCTTTCTTCACATTAGAGCCATTTTTTTATTGGGTTTTTAGATAAACCAAGATGAAGCTTTGCATATTAGTGAAGTAGAAAGGAATTGATTCATGATGGCTTTTGGTTTCATTCTTACCATGTATGAAAATCTGATTTCTTTTAACCTGAAATAAAACCAACCATAACCAGCTGCCATTAGAAGTACTATTTACACCTGTATACAATAATCCTACAATTGCAAACAAATGTATAAATTGTAGGTTTGTTTGAAATCATTGGCAGACAAAATGAATCATGGAGCTGCAGTTTTTAAAACTATAAGAAAATCATGACTATACCCTTGATATTTTACGGGTTAATATTTGCACTTTTATTCATTTTTTTATTATTAAATTAATTTTACAGCAGAGTACAAGATACGTGGTAAAAGTAGATTACATTAATGAATGAATATATAGGACCGTGTGTGAAATTTATGGTTTTAAATATGGAGACAAACAACTGTAGCTGCAGCAAAAGAATAATCTACACAGTATTGAATCGTGGCGATAAATCCAATAATTCAGGCCGCACTATTCAGCATTGCTTTATTTATATATGTATAATGCAGAAAAGCAAGGATTGTTTTTTTTTATTCACTCAATAGGCATGTTTATGAATTTGAAATGACAAAAAGTAAAAGAACAATAGACTTAAGCCGAAGTAAATATTTAGTACGTCAGAATATGATCATTTCAAGCATCAGAACAAATAAATTAATAATCATTAATCAATAATCAGTCATTGTGTAAACATGTTATGTTCAGTTTATTTTTGAAAAAACATCTCACTGGTTTTATCCATCAGGTCTTGTTTATAGTCAAACCATCAACTTTTAATCATCATTTCAGCCTGGAAGCTGTTTCATGTTCAGCTTCATTAATATCACATTATCTTCTTTAAACCAAGAACTGTTTACACTGAATGTCTTCCCACTGATAACGGCGCAAACATGTTACAGACCGTTAGTTTGTAAAATGGGAGGAAAAAAGAACTTCAAAAAAGAGAATTAATCCAGAAGCAATGTTAGATTTTGAATTTGGAGAAAAATCTCCAAATTATTTCTGCTTCTCTAAGGCAGAGAGAAAGAAAAACTATCAAAATAACTCGAAAAATATCTGAATAAACTAAGTGAAAGACTTCAGTGAAACAATAAAAGAAAAGTGGAGCACATATTCTAGATTGAGTATGGTAATGGTTGCTGCCATCAATCATGGCCAATGGAGCAGAAAATTGACCAATTTTGCTCACAAGCTTATTTTTGTAATTTTTTTATGCTGTTTGCAGAGCACTTTAGGAAAGATTTTCCCTATTTTAAACCACATATGTGGGAACTCTACAATGCGTTGAACAACCATTGGTTTTTTTTCATGTTTTCCTCTAATACACTTTGTACAGTATGACTACTAATCTATGCTTTCATAGATTAGGAATATGCTATTGTTTGCATTTCCCTGTGTACATTACAGGCTTTGACTTTTAGGTTATGAAAGAAATAACAGTGAGTCTCTTTTTTTTCTGGTTAGAAGAGTCAATACCCCAATAACATATATTTTACAGAACAAAAAAACTGAACAGTTGTACGACATTTCAGTTTATGTGAGTAATGTAACGTGGAAGACTGCTGATAAAATCTTTGTTTGTTTATTGAGGAGCATAATCTCATGGCTGTCTTTCTGGTTGTAGTTGTTTTGCAGGCCTGTGCCCTGGTGCTCTACCCAATCAAGTTTATTGACGGAACGGTTCTACAGACCTATCACGAGTTCAACTGGGGCTACGGACTCGGCTGGGGAGCCACCATTTTCATGCTGGGCGGAGGGATACTCTTCTGCCTGCGGACGGACATTTACGAGGATGCCATGTATTAGTGAAATCCCTGCCGCGCTGCTGAAAATGCAAACATAAACCCACAGAAACTTCTTTTTGCGCTGCACAGGGCCTGTACGTCAGCAGAGCCCATGTCTTGTTTCTGCCTCCTGTCTTGCTCTTGCTGTTATTTTTAGACAGGTTGTGAAGGTGCTATTTAGGGCCAGGGCTGTGGGAGTGGATCTCCACCTCCACCCTGCAGTCACACTCAGCTGCCGGTGGCGTTTGGTGGAGGGGGCGAAGTGGCAACACTAAAGCACAGAGTTTTCCGGACTGGCTTGGGCTGCTGGACGTTTCCAGGATGTTTATTGTTAGAAATGACCTGAATGTGCCGGGGCTGACTAATCACCAGGACTGACTGACCTCCACATTTCTTTTTTTTTATTATTTTATTTTTATAGTGTATTTATGGCATAATTCTCTTTCTTTCCAGATATTCAGTGTAAATTTCCCCTCTTAAATTAAAGCATATCTAATAAGTGTAAATTAGACATTTTTTTATAGATGTGTAGCCTCTGAAAAACAGTCACAGTAGTTTGTCCCATAAACTCTACAATACAAATATTTCTATGTGTTTTGTTTGACATATTTTTTTACAAACTGTCATAACTGTACACCACAGAAACAAAAATACAAACCAGTTTGAAGCATAATATTGCATTAACAAAAGGACATTTTCAGTCAGACTCATTTTTTTATGCATTAATAGACAAATCCCTACATTTTAAGAATGTCAACAAAACCAAAAACTGCAGGAGGAAAATCCTGGACCAGAAAACATTTTTAAAGTCTTAATTGTATCATGATTACAGGCCATAGTCTCCCCTTCATCTCTTTTTATTATTATTGTTTTTATCTCGGCTCTCTCTCTCTCTGACTGCTGCCTATGGACTCCTGTTTATCAGAGCTGAAACTAAGACATCAACAGTCCCACAATGCAATGCGGTTTGATGTCTGCGCTCATTCCCATGACTATTTCAGTTAACATCTTAAATGTGGCACTTTAAAAAAAAAAAAAGGTTTGTCCTTCAAATTCTTAAAAGTGTGCAAAGCAGTTCTAAGTTATTATATCTGGTTGCCAGCATGAAGTCCAGGCTGCTAGCTGATGAGTGAAATTCATTGAATCATGCTTCACTACATGACACATTTGACATATGTTTGTAGTTTGAGAGTTTACACAAACTCTCATTTTGTGTATCTTCATCCCTCTGTCTAGTGTAAACTTCCTAACTTTGTTAATACAGGTTCTTTAAAACAAAAAACAAGGAATTGAGATATTTCAGTTGTAACTAAACCAGTGATTGTTTAGCTTCACCTTGGTTCACCTGAAAGCTCTTTACTGGCAGTTCAAGTATAAGGAGCCGTTGCAGCAGGTACATAAATAAAACGAGGCCTTGACTCCGGTGGACGGCTCTGCTGCAGACTAAACAGCCACCGAACCACCATCATTATCTGGAACACATTCCTCAGAGGAAGGCGGAAGCTATTTAAAGAGGCTCCAACGGGGCTGCGAGCTAGCAATGTAGCTACATGGAACATTTTAATGTTCAGTACCTCATTTTACTGCATTTTAACAATTTACTCATAAATTTAGGATGGAAAATTGTTTCTTAAACAGCATTTAACAAAGTCACTGAAAATAAATCCCTTTTTATTGCTGTGCTTTAATAACAATAATAGCAAAATCTAGATTTATTTTATGGTCTAACTGTTGTATTCACAGCCAAATAGACTTTAAATGGAAACTGGAGGAAAATAAACAATATAAAAACAAACAAACAAAAATAACCAAGAAAGAAGTGGCAACAATTTATCCAGAAGTTAATACAAATGAAGCACTATTATTATTATAATTATCATTATTCTTTAAAAAAAAAACAAAGAAAGTATCATCCAAAAACCAGAATATATAGGAAAACAAAAAAAAGCCTAATTTATGATTAGGTGTCCAATAAATGTATACAGGTTAGGTGAGTAGTTTTTGTTGTGACTAATTCATGACATGAGTATTAACACACATCTTTCTTGTTGGAATATATTCTCTTGGATGCTCATTTAGAAGAGAAAATGGGCGTCTGTCATGTATTTATACCCCAAGAGAAAAGAAAAAAATTAGAAAAAGTTACATTCAAAAATAGAAGGGGTGCAACTACAGCCAAGTTTGTATGTTTGTTGTGACATTACTGTATTTCTACCCAAATAATTAAAGATATTTAGTTCAAAAGTTGTATGTTTCTCTCTTTTTTTTTTTTGTGGTGAATAGAAAATTCAGTTTGAATATTTTTGCACATCTTAACCATCGTGGCTGTGATGTGCCAGAAATACATAGACAAGGGAGAAGCTCACAAAATAATTGTAAAAAAAAAAAAAATCCTATTTTCACTAATCAAGTGCATTTTCATTTATGGTGCGATTAAAGATGTTAAAAGTTTAAGGTGGCATTCCTCCCGTGTCTGGTGGAAAAACGGGAAGCATTGTCACACTTGAGCTGGTGAAGGCTGTCTGCAAACTGCTGCAGCTGAAGAGGGATAAACATTTCCCACAGCTGCAGCAGCGTGAAAACCGAACAGCTGCGAAGAGTATTTACACCAGAATCATCAACCCCCAAGGGAGAAAGGAATCGAGATTATTTCACCGTGGAGACTTGATGAAGTTGTGCAGTCCTGTTTTCTGAATGTATGTTCTTATTTATTTATGCAGGGTATCTCATTGAGGTCCAAGCTCTCATTTACAAAGAGAGACCTGAATTAAATTAGCTAAAAACAAGAGTAGGTTTCGTGAGAAGATTTCTCTCTTTGTCTTAAGAAATTTGAGATTTTCAAAGTGGATTGTTTCAGATCCTGCTTTAGTGTTTCACATTAAAGCAGCAGAGAGAGAAAATGTTTTTTTCCCCCAAGTTCTGACCTTTACTAATGGAAAATCAAAGGAGAGCAAATCTTGAAAGTGTGGCCTGTGACTGGGGAGCTTTATAGATAAAAATGTACCAATGCATTACTAAAAAATATAAATTACAGTAAGTGAAAGCCTCATAGCCTGCTGAACTTTACCGCACCATGATTGACAGCATCCATACATATGTAGACAAGCGGAGTGTGCATTTTTATACACATCACAATAATCAAAGCGAGGCAGGAAGGTTGTTAAACAAGATGCTTCCTAGCACTTTAGCTTTCTGGGTCTTAGAAATGTGACCTAAAGGTCAGAGGTGAGGCGTTCTAGGCCATCATAATTCAGCTTTTACAAATTGTGACTCCATTCAGTCTATATAGAGCATGATTTAGTTACATTAGTAAAGAACAGTTTGTAAAGTTGAGCATTTTTGACATAGCAGTGATCAAAAACATAAAGCGTCCTCCTACTCCCACATGTAACCTTGTTTATCCTTGAACTATGCACATTCATTATCTGCTGTCGGTTTTCTTTACTTTTAATCAGCAGCAGAGGCTGTAAAATGCATCATCTCACTGCCGAGATCCGTCTTAAAGGTCAGTGGTGGGAATGCCTGCAGGCTTTCACCCTCAGGTTTCTGCCCACACAGATGCTCCAACTTTCTGCTTTATCTCTGACAATAGAAAAGTCATAAGAACAACATGAAATGTCTCGACAGAGACACAGTTTCTGTGTGCTGGTAGAAAAGCGAGTTGCTACATTTCCTGGTGCCCAGACTGTTTTCTAAGTGCACTTAGTGGGTGTTGTGTTTAACAGCAGCCTTTATAATGGTGGTATTCTTCCACCTAGTGGTCAGATGAATGTGATGTCAAGTTGTCTAGCATAAACATACATGCAATGCCACTTTTGGTCAAATGCAGATCGCAATTTATTAAAATTAACAGCTGGTTCTGGGAGAGAAACATTTGTTAATGTTTTCTTTGTTTCTACCTAAGCTTGAAACGGTACTCTGTATTTTGTTTTTGTTTTTTATTGTATCTACTTCTGCTCATTCTGAATATATTTTATTAGATGGTGTTTTCTTTATCAACAGAAAATAAGCAGAACCACTACAGACCAAAGCTTTGATGGCAGATGGTGAATCCTGCAAAATCCTGTTAGTCAGAATTTGAAGGGAGTCTGTCCTGCGGAGATTCGCCTGGCCCCTGGGTGTAGTAACCAGCCAGGCCCTGCACGCTTTCACTCTGCAGGGACAGATTCCAGTTACTGAACCCGGGGGTCAGAGACACATCGGCTCTGACATGCTGTCACCTGAGGGAAAACAATTCATTGCTTTACCCAAACATTTAAAACATTTATGTTAGAATTTTCTGAAAATAAGCACAAAATCTAAAGACCAGACCTGAAGTAGTTCAGCGCCGCTGATCGTCATGAAGATGAGAGTCAGCGAGCTGCAAGGCTGATGAACTGACTGAACAGCAACACCTGGGCTGTACATTACCCTCCTACCAATCTATTATCGACACTGGCTCCGCCAAAATTACACATTAACCCAAATAACTTTACTTGCTTCTCTTCTACTGTCACCACTCTGCAGGCCCCAGGGTCCCATTTAACCTACATGTGTTCTTACTGAGGGCTGTGAATGGTGCAAATCCTGCACTCAAGTAACTTGTGTTATCTCTTTAGGTGCGATAAAATTATCTGAATATCTTGCATAATATTCCACTTTGTCTTACAGCGTCCAGATAAGATGAAGCGCAGTGTGAGCACAATTCTTATCCACAAACTCTTATTACCATTTATCTATGACCATAAATAAATCCAGGCCTAAGCAGAGTTCAGAAGAAAAGGGCAGCGTGAACCTGACAACATTGGTGGGAAGCAGTCAGCTGCCATGGCTGACCTTGAGGATGTCAATGAATGCTGGATCAAACATAGAGCTGTGGTCAACCTGCAGCCAGGTGGTCATTTTCTCAACCACAGAGAGAGAGAGAGAGTATCATGCACCAAGCAGGTTTGTGCTGGATAAGTATTTGAGATGCGTACAGGACAATCTTCTTGAATCATTATAGTCTTTTGTAATCTCCCAGTTTTTCAGAGAGTTCATGACTACTAAGGTTCCCTGGACATTTAGAAAAGAGCAAATATTCCACCACATTTAACAAACAAATTACTGAACATGTTTGAAAAACTCCCGCTGAGTTTAATCTGGCTAACGGACACAAAAGTCCCAGTGGCTTTAATAAACTGGTTAGAGTTTAAACAGATCCTTTCCATGGAGACTTTGTGATTCCACGATGTCTCTCTTTCATCCAGACCCTTAATCTATATTCTTGCACATAATCTGCTTCCTTCAGAAGATATTAAATGTTTTATCTTCCCATGTTTAACCAATACCCTGCCTTTCACACCATGTTTCCTTAGGTCTTGTTTTCTCTCTACTCATCCTGAAAAACATAACTAAAAAGCAGGAAATCAGGAAGCGAAGACGCTTATTTACTCCACTGTGTCTCCAGTGAACTTTCAGTGGATCATCTAATGTGTCCCTATTACACCCTGGAGTTTATTTAACATTTGACAAAAAAAAATCTCATAAAAGCATTAAAATATGAGCAAGTTTCACAAGGCATTGTAAAAGATTTTAAGGTAATTTAATTGAAACTTGTGTCCTTGATCCAACATATTTGAAACAAATAGCTCAACTAAAGCTAAAGACTAAATACTGAAGTTTCTTGAAGCAGACGCATTTAAACGTTGAAGGATATTCTGGCTACCTTAAAGTCTGCAACTGTGTGACTCGTACCAACTAATATGAACACGCCGATAAAACAGAGAACAATTATGGGTTGTATTTATCTTGGGAAAACAGTGTCTTCAGTCAGAGATCCGCCTTGCCAAAAGCCGTCACCATCTACAAAACCTTTTTGAATAATTTGAATTAATTTGATTTTATTGATCCCAAATTTCTTTTGTTTCCTTTGTGATCAATAAAGTGTTTTTTGATTTAATTGAATTAGTGAGTAAGTTACAAATCCATTTCTAATAAAACTAACGCATTTTAGGTTGCTTAAAATGCTCCTAATAAATCTTAGGAAGGCATCCTTTTATGATTACAGCAAACAAAACAGAAATAGGTTTTTCTATTTCCTTTCAATTATTTGACCAATCAATCTTTTTTTATTAAGTTTTATCAGTTTAAATTTATATTATTCTGAGTTAGATCATGAAATATTACTCCTCATGTTATGCTTTTAATTTTACATGATTCAAATTTTCCTTCTAGCAACAGAAGTGCAATACTGGTATTTGGCCAGCAGATGTCGCCCTTGATACACGGTCCCTGGAGTAAATTTACCTTATTATAATAATATTAAGTTATTATAATGTGGTCATAAATGTGCATCAGCAGCAAACACTCATTGAGGATGTAACTAACAGAGCTGGGCGTCATTTCCGGCCTTTCTGGATCATTTCTCTCACCATGATTAATTGACTTTGTGACCCTTCTAAGACTGATGTCGACGACTCTTCCTCTTCTTTTTTTCAATTTCTTATTTCTGTATTTACTTTGGTTATCTTTGTAAGACATTAAAATCTGACAAAAACAAAAAAAAAGTCTAGGATAAAATTATGAACAAATCTGCAGATTATTTGTGATGACAGGTAAAATGCAAAAGATATAAAAATCAGACCATATTTAATCAAAGTTAATTGGAATGAGTTTGAAATATTATTTTAAGACGCAATAAAAAGCATAAATCTTCTGACAACCTTTTCTGTAAGCCTTTTCTGACACATAAAACTCTAAACATTCATGAGAACATTAATAAAATCTGCATAGTTGTGCAATGAAATAAAATAAAGCAAAATTGCAGCAGTCAGGGAATGTGGTAGCTGAGTTTTTTTTTTTTTGTCCTTTAAATATACATTTTTTTTTATATAAAAAAACCCCCAGAATATTCCTCTTTCACTAAAAGTGTGGAGTGTTTTTGTTTATTTTGGTTTTCTTCATCATGCAGTCATGCAGTATGAGCTACTGAAAGATATTCTCAGTTCATTAACTCTTCAAAGTCTACATTTTTCTCAGGAATATTTTTTCCTCTGGCAGCAGAGTTTGGCTCACTGTCGAGATGAAATGCATCCCTCCTGCCAGGCTTATCAGAAGACGGGAGGAATCTCGTCGGACTTTATTTATGTATCCCCAAAGGCACTAATTCATCATTGCCAAGTTCTCAATATATTTATTATTCCACAGAAAACTGACTGTTACCCAGCACATATTTCATCCACATTGACAATAATTACAGTAATTAATTCTTGAGTCTGTAGTTGAGTTTGCAGAATGAGAATTATGCCGATTATACAGTTAAAAATAAAAGAGATGTGATGAGAGAAGTGCACAAAGTTAAGAAATGACAATAACAGTTTTTATTTTCATGCACAAGGATTCATGTTTTCAAGTGTCATAATAAAAACTGACTTTCTCAGCTCCGGTGTTTCCTCCTCTCCGTCCTTCATGTGTTTCACTGCAGGTTCTGTTGCGTCTTTCTGACTTTGGCTCCTTTGGCCTCCTGAGTCCATGACTCGTCCAGGCTTCGTCCCCAAAATACTCACTTGTTTTTTATACCTGGCCCTCCTTCCAAGGAACTGTCTTACAAGGCAGGGGATTGGAAAACTCTTGGTAATTTGCCTTGGCATTATGTGATTTTTACACTTTGAATCTTTGTGCTCTTTCGGTTTGAATCCATTTATTTTGTCAACCTGGTTTGTTTTGCATATTGTCTTTAGTTCTTGTCTAAAGTGTCTTTGGATCCCTTGCAATCCCAGCCACGGTTAGGTTTAATCACTTTGTTGATCTACTTTCTTTTGCTTTATCATTTTAGACTCAGAAATCGTGCCTGTTCTATTGTCTCTACGATGTTTTGTCTTCAAAAGTTCCTGGGAGAGACGAGAGTAAATCAGGTCAGATGGTGTAAAGTTTAGCAAACGTTATGAGCCACAAATTCTGCATTTCTTTTCTTAGCTGTTTTAAGTTAAGAATCAGAACATAACATTTTAAGAAATACCACATATATTGTTTATTCATAATACCGTATTAAAAATAAATTACAAAAAGGAATGTATACAAATCTCTTCCAAGCTTCACAAAAGCAGATATTTATCTAGACTGTAATATTTTCTTCCCACTTACAGATATGAAGCTACTAGGAAATGTCAAGTTCTTAATTAAATGAGGAGAAAATACTATATTTCAATATGAATATTACCAATTTTAAAATCTTGTGCTTTCCTTTATATGCAAACCACAATACAAATTATTTTAACTCAATTTTATTTGTTGAACAAAACCTAAAATGTTTCACATCTGAAAATGTATGTCCAACAAAAAACAAACATGAAAAAATACATTCGTAAAAGGTAGTATAGGAGCATAAATAAAATCTCCTTGTTTTAGTGCTAAATTGATAAACATAGAAACAAACAATTCATCCCCACAATTTGAATATGCAACAAACTAAGATATGCTGTGTATATGAAGGCCTACATCCATTAGATCTATACTTCTATTTACATTTTCAGGTTATTAGAGCCATAAAGTAACATTAAAATTCAAATGAAACCAGGAGGCAAAGGGAGTGCGGTGATTTTTAACTCTTACTGTCAAGGTACCAAACATGTCTGCTTGTATTGGAATAAAGCAACCATGGCAAAAGTCCTACTGGGGTCAATTCCCCAAAAATGGCAAAGTTTGTGGCATTAAAACACTTACACACTCATTTCTTCTGGTCATGTTACACTTTGAGTTGCAATAGAAATACTAGGCTGGTGAATAAAAACTTCTCTGGTTCAAAGTGTGCAACAGAGATGGTTACAAATACATTTTGAACACATTAACATCACGTTTCTTTTATTTTTTGTTACATAAAAAATCACTTGTTTTATCAGGTTTCTGGCAAGATTTGAGGCCCATATTAAACAAGTAAATACATTGATAAAATACATAAATGTACATGGATATACAATACGCAACAATTTTGCAACTTCTATTAAGTAAATCACTTGGCAAGACATGTGGCAAACTGTAAAACATCTTGGTTAAGTAACTTCAGCTCGTTTAATCCTCCAGTTTTGACAAAAAAAAATAAACACTAAACCGAAAACTCTTGATTTTTTTTTTAATTTCCCTATAAAATAGCTTCCTTGTTCTGCTTAACATATCTGTTGAATGTTAGACAGTTTTGTAAAAAGAACACTGTACAGCGTAGCACAGCAATAAACTTATCTGGACAGGCAGCGTCAAAACTTAAGTAGAAGTGCAATGAACAAAAAAGAGACGAGTTCTGAAATGTTTTTAAATGACAACATCAGTGCAGATTTTCTTGCCACTGTAGATCTTTGAAACTCTCTGAGTCAAGTTGTTGGTCAGCAACTTGGGAAGCAGAGAGTCCACTTTGCTCTGTGGTCCTGATTTCCTCCTGTTATAAAAGCACAGACTGGTCTTTAGTTTATTTTATATTCTTTGCCCTGCAAAGGTATCGAGCCTCCTTCAATATCTTCACATTTAATCACTGCAAACTTCAACTTATTTTGCAGTGTTTTTTCATTTCAATTGCTAAGAACAACTGGTGCACAATTGTGAAGCAAACAGAAAATGATGAAAGACTTTCTAAATCTTTCAGAAATAAAAATCTGGATGATGTGGCATTTGTGCTCAGTCAGTTTCCTCAAAATAAATTCCAGTGCAACCGATTATTATTAAAGATCACTAGGTTATTATAACAGTATTGTGTATTTTGGACATCTTAATGGATAGAGTATTGCACTGTACTTAACTATAAACTTATCAAGAAAAAGCACATTATCAGAGTGACCCAATAAAAGTCCAGAGCTAACTCCGATAGAATCTCTGACAGAAAGATGTTTACAGATGTTTGCCATTCAATTGGTCTGAGCTTATTTTTGCTCAAACAATGGGCACAAATTTTAGTCTAGACATAAACCTGATAGATATTATTACCCAAAACCGACAGGGAAAGAATGAAAAACAAAGAAATAAATCATGTTATGCAGCAAAGCATAACTCCCCCCCAGAAAGTAAGGGAAATAAAGAGTAAAGAACATTTAATAAACATGAGCAAGCTGTTGTTTGTGCTTACTAATATCAACAATCACATGAGTGTGTGGAAAAATCACATTGTGCACGTGTTTAAACTCACATGCTGACTGCTGCCCACACACACAGACACACCACCAGGGAGACAATGATGACAACAGCAATGTAGATGTAGATGGACACAGAGTTCATTTCTGGTCCCAGAGGGGTTTGTCTGTTATCCAAATCTGGAACAAAATCAAATAAAACCAGGTTTGTTACAAAGAAATACTTGATTATAATATTTGATTAAAAACATGTGTTAATAAGTAACAAAATCCACAAAAACCTAAAAGCAAATGATAAATGTGAAAGCGGTGTAAAATATTCATTTCAATAGTTTTGGAAATCCAAGTTTTTGATCTAATAAAAGAGGGAACCACCTGCAGGTGGTGCTGTAAGAAAGGTTAATGCAATCTGTGACATGCTGGATTGCATCACATAACCACAATAATCTGAAATCTTACTGTCACATGTTGTCTGATCGTAGAGGAATTAACAATTAAAACTCAACTTCAGGTGCTGCAATGCCCCATGAAGCCACAAACGGTTCCAACACAGATTGTATTGAAAAGACTGAAGCAAATTTCTGCTTTACTATAAAAAGAATCACCCCAAAGAAGCCAAACTAGATATTTGGCAGATTTCGTAAATGTAGGTTCAAAAGGGAAAATTATATTATAAATAAATAATTTTAGGGTAAATATTGTTTACAGCATCATTAGGGCTTTCTAAGATCGACCCACTCTGTTAACAATCATTCAAAGCTTTCATGGGTTATTTCCAGAAAACATAAATGTTTTCTAACTGTAACATCCCAGAATTTTAGACGCTTATATTTTCATCTCTGCAGAACAGCAAATCTAACTGTCTACAGCAATATTTTACACTTTGATTTAATACAAAATTTGCAGCACAACTTTAGTAATCGTCCATCTTGCCATTTTCATGCGCAATAATTTTTGTGGACAGCATCAGAGGCGTCTGTTGCAAACTTATTGCATTAAAGGGCTATTTTTCCATGTTACTAGCCCAGACTCCATCTGTCTGGATCATTTAATATTAGCTCAATAGATTTAAAACTTAACACAAATTACATTTAAAAAGATTGTTTGTCGTTATTTTTATTTATCTAAACAGGGGTGCAGGGGTGCACAGATTTTAGAGTCACTACCTGGATGGCAAGTTTCATGGCTCCAATCACTCCAGAAGCTTTGGTCCACACAGTAAAAGTTCAGTCTGGACCGAACCTTGAAGCAGTTTCTCTCATTGCTGTTGTTGAAAGGCAGAGTCAAGCGAGGCTTCTCGGTGTGAATGTCGTTCTGTCAAAACAAGTAGTTTTATAAAAGAAGTTAAAGACACAAGGGGAAGTAGAATGACTAAGTGTTATTTTAAGAGCTTAAGCACAAAAATCCGATGCGATTTAAAAATTTAAAAGTGGCTCAAGCTTTGAAAATTCTTCAAAATGCACTGGAGACCAAACGCTGAACGCTACAGTTTCCATGAGATTTCAGCACACCTTCACCAATGCTGCCTGCGTTAGCAATACATTTTCAAATTCATTCAAATAAATATTTGTGCAGAATCTTTCGACAGGATTTTTTAGAAAGAACATATAAGCTGATGCAGTGAGTCTTATCAGAAGGTTCATATCTGATCAACCATACCAGAGATATTTTTCCATCAGCCCCCACATGATGATGTCTCACTTCCCACTCAAGGCAGTGGGCAGGAAGCCTCCCAGCGGGATTCTCCCAGTGAAACTCCAACTCCGTGTCAGAACTCGTTTGCAGATGCAGCTTATCTGGAGCTGCAACCTTCACTGCAAAAACATTAAAACCAAGTACAACATATCACCAAAGGAGAAAGGAGGAAAACCTAATCTGGTTCAGAAGAAGAACGAGAAGAAGAAAAAAAAACAATGACAGAGTCAAAATATCAGAACGAGATACTGAACTACCACAGAGCTTGCATGGCAGCTGTCATGTACACACCTTGGTTTTGAATCTGCAGAGAGACGAATGTTGCCTTCAGGGGCCCTTCATGGGAGGAGCCGTTTACACAGAAGTAGATGTCAGTGAATTCAGGAAGAGATTTTCCTGGGAAGTTGCAGCCCTTCCGAACTCCACCTGACACAATGTAGCTGGGGCATTCAACTGCCTGATCCAGGGGCTTATGCCTGGGAGAAAAAAACAAAAATCCAGTCATACAGGTGGTAATGCTTAAGATTAACAAAACAAAAGAGTTGCTGCCAAAGTAAACATATATATCCGCAATAATTTACGACAAGCATTGAGGTGTAAGGTGGGAAAATAATGACTGAAAGTGAAGAATTTATGAGGCATGACGGATGAGTCACATTCAGAAAGTTTCCAAAATGTTCATATGCAGTCGTTTTTCACTAACAAGAACCGCTATCTACAAAGGATTTACAACAAAAACAATTATTTATGAGCAAGCGAGCATCCAGCCAAAAAGCTGCCTTGTTTAAGCAGGTTACATACCAGAAATAGAGAGTCTGCAGGGCGCTGGGTGGCGTCTGCAGGCTGCGTGTCCAGCTGCACTCCAGCTTCTCCATATTATAGTACACGCAAATAAACGCTTTGGCTTCTGTATCCAAAACTCCTAAACACAACAATAAAAAAAGCCACACAGCAAATGTTTCTTATAACCTTCTGTACCATTTTATATATCCCATGTTATAGGGCAGAGATATCTTTGGATTTTGTAGGATTTTATGTGAAGAATCAACAACAAAGTGTCGTAATTGAGACACTTTAATTGTTATAAGTAAAGTGTTTATTTTTAAAAACTAAAAATTAACACTTCTTAGTGTTAATTTATGGTATTTAGTTTTAAAAAACATGGATTTTATTTTTTTATAAAAGGAAATGAAAAAAGAAATCACAAAATAGTGCAGAATATTAGTATTCATCCACACTGAGTTAATGTTATTTTATTAATTTTGTTTTGCAAAAGAGTTCAACCTCATTTCTATTTGATATTCATTAACTCTGACCAGCTTCCCAGTCTCTCCTGATTATTTTGTATTATTATTTTGATTTAATTATGAGGGTCCATCTGAAAATATTGTATGAGTTTTGGAGTTCTTAAGTTTCATACTTCTTCCTTTTCAAGCATGTTAAGATTATTGTGGTAGAAAAATGTGTCTTTTGCATTTCTTGTTCATGTGTGAAATTTTATTCTTCTATCCTGTCTGAAATAAATAAATAAAATGCATCCCCACTGCCACCACCGTGTTTCACAGTTGTATGATGTATTGAAATGCTTTGTGTCCATTTTACAACACAAAGCATTTCAAATGCATCTCAAATTGTTCAGTTTTGGTCTCATCTGACCAAAGCACTTTTTGTTTATATCTGTCTAAAATGTTTACTTCCACTTCCTAATTATGCACCAATATTTTTTGGTCTATTAAATACATTCACGATGAAATACATTCAAGTTAATGTTTGTTAGAGCCATAAATAGGAAATATTTGTTATTTGTATGATGGTTTGTTTTTTTAGTTTATCATATTTATTTAAGAAGACTAATATTTGTCCAGGTCATTTTCATTGTGCAATTTAGCTTTATTTTGAAAGGCTTACTTCCTGTCGAGGCATATGGATTACCTATATGCAATGCAGTTTTTGTTTTGCAAAAGAGTTCAACCTTTTTCTTTTGGCAAAAAGGTATTGTAAAACTGATTTATCATCATTTTTGTGTTTGCAATTTTTACAGATAAAGAATTTTTGTTAAATTCATGGTTTGCACGCATCCCTTTACTTCCAGTGTCTAAGGAATGACAGATATTGGACCTGCTGCCATGACAAGGTTTGTGATCAAGTTCAGGGTGTGTCCATGCTTCTGCAAAGCACAGCATTTTGTGCTACAGATGTGAAGCACACGTTTAGGGCTGACCTGTGCTGGGAGGCTTCAGAATCAGCTCCGTGCAGTTTTTGCTCATGATCATCGTGTTGTTGGTGCACTCTCCATTCAGAATGGTGTAAACTCTTATATGGACGTCTTTGGACGGGTCAAACTGGGCGCTGTGGGTCCTCCTCGGGGTTCTGAGAATCTGTCAAGCCAAACATCCAGACATGTTGTTACACATCAGAAATACACTTGAAGAGTTTTAACTCTTTGTGTACATTTACACGCGAAGACAGATGAACAGAAAGAATAGGTGTTAGCTGTTTCCAGGTTTGATGGAGCGGCCTTTAATCCAGAATTGACACAAATGGTTTTTTTCCTGTCAGGTTTATCAGAGCGTAATAGTTGCAAATATCCAATTATTTTCTTTACCTCAAAGTTTCAACATCAATCCTTCAAACGGTTGTTCAAAACAAGTTTGACAGTAGAACCTGGTCTCTTCCAGTACTGTACCAATCTGCCATTATCTTCCCTGACTGTGATTACAAGTCCATAGTGCTTGAATGATGTGTCATCTACCTGTTGTGTCATTATTCTTAGGAAACAAATCTATGACAGCATGTTTGTGAGTCAGATTGGCAGTAATGAAAACCTTAACCCTCGGTTGTTAAGGTGTCATTCAGAAAGTCTTAATAGCGTGAGTAATTTTCCACTGCTAGACAAGCTCATGTTTCAAGGTGCCAAAATGATGACATGACTTTAAATGTAGCATTCAACAATTCAAGTGTGTCTTCTCGATTAAGCGCTGTGTCAAGAAAATATTTTCATTTAATTAATTTATGTATTGTTTTTACTACGTTATTTCAAAGCTCAATATCCAGAAAGTCAGTCCAAGGCTCTGTTAGACCCTAAACAGAGGTGCAAATTTATTTTAAATGCACTTTTCCCTGATTTTTAATCTTATTTTTAATCTCCACATCCTTATTCAAGTCTATAATCTTACTATGCATCTTAAAATTTGATTATCTCCTGTGGGATACGTCTTTAATGTCACCAGTATCATCTCTTTATTTGTTCAACTGCTATTTTTGATTTTGCCGCTGTATCAGAATGTACTCTGTTCAATGATTAAATGAATAAGGTCCTGCTGCCTCAGATACTCTGCACCGATTTGGCACGTCGGCAGGAGAATGGTGAATCATCACGTTGTAAACCTGCAAAGACTGAAGGAATTCTAATAAAAAAAATGTACCAACAATTTATAGCTCCACAGCTATAAATCAATTTAGACATCAATTTAAAGACAGTCACTGACACTCTTAACATGGAGGGTAAGCCACAAAATGTCATTGTTGAAGAGTTGGCTGTTCACAGAGTTTTGTATCCAAGCATATTAATACAAAATTGAGTGAATGGAAGACGTTTGGCAGGAATAGGTGCACCACTAACAAGGGGAGACCAGCACCCTTGGGAGGATTGTCCAATCCATTCCAGACACAGACTAGACAAATGTTGCATGTTTGGGTTTCCATGTCATCTGATGGTTTTCTGAAGTCCACAGTCAACGCAGCCGATTACCAGGAAATTCCCCGAACTGACAAGCTGTTTTATTTTCCTGCAGGACTTGCCACCTACTTACAAGGTACCAGAAGCTGGGACAGTGGTGTTCCTGTTCTTGATTGGCCAACAAACTTCTCTGACCTTTAACCCATAGAACATCAAACAGGGAAGACAACCCAAAGACAGCTATCAAAGCAACCTGGTCTTTAATTACTCCAATGCATTAATAAGTCACAGCCACTGATGCATTCATTCATGCAGGAGAAAACACAACCATAGAAATGTACATACTGTAAAACTGATAGTTGTGCTTAAAACCTGAGTTTTTGGTTGGACTGACGTGGTACTTTGATTTTTGTGATTTCTGTAATAATCTCTATAAAATGATTATTTTATATATATATATATATATATATATGTGTGTGTTTTTGATATTTAAAATATATTTTAAATACTATTTAAATATATAATTTAAAAATATATATATATATATATATATAGATAGATAGATAGATAGATAGATAGATAGATAGATAGATAGATAGATAGATAGATAGATAGATAGATAGATAGATAGATAGATAGATAGATAGATAGATATAGATAGATAGATAGATAGATAGATAGATAGATAGATAGATAGATAGATAGATAGATAGATAGATAGATAGATAGATAGATAGATAGATAGATAGATAGATAGATAGATAGATAGATAGATAGATAGATAGATAGATAGATAGATAGATAGATAGATAGATAGATAGATAGATAGATAGATAGCTAGATAGATAGATAGATAGAATAGATAGATAGATAGATAGATAGATAGATAGATAGATAGATAGATAGATAGATAGATAGATAGATAGATAGATAGATAGATCGATAGATAGATAGATAGATAGATAGATAGATAGATAGATAGATAGATAGATAGATAGATAGATAGATAGATAGATAGATAGATCGATCTATATATGTGATAATGGGATCAGCACTCACCTCCCAGTAGTTCTTGTACGTGTTGAAAAACTCCAGCTGGTACTGATGAAGGCACTTTGTCATTTTCGTCAGGCTGCTTGGTGGACTCCAAGTAATCTGCATTTGTCCGAGGAGACCAGAGTCCAATACCGCCAGATCCTCAGGGGGATCCACTACAAAATAAAGAGGACATCTCCACTTATTGATCCTCCACAGCATTTCTCTCCTTTATTTTATCATAGAAACGGTATTTTAGACACAATCATCCATACTACAGCTCCAATAATCATATTAAAGGATGTTAACCTGTGGTTGCACAGCAGCGCATGCTCCCCCTCCAGGTTATGAAGATCAGCATTAGTGAATGAAGAACACCGGATTCATTAGCCATCGGTGAAAACCAACAAATCAATAACAACAAAAGAAAACTAGAAAACAGAAAGATACTGTAAAAATAAATAAAATCCTGAGAGGTGTGATGTGACCGCTGGATTTAACGACTTTGAGGAGAATGTGTTTAGCTTAAGCTTTATAAAAGTGGGCGGGTTCCGTCGGTGAAGAACAAAACTCAACTCGTTCGTCTTTCTTCCCCCTTCTGGTGATTTAAGGTGAAGCTGAACAGACAGCTTCACTGTCGAGTCTCCCGTGTTTTACCCCTCTTTCCCGTCCTCCCACATGACTAATGTCGCGTAAATCTCCCGTATTATAATACGATGTAAAAACAAAACATTCCTGTGCCTCTTCAAATTTTATCATTTCACCAGCCTACTGAGAAATGCCACCCAGGCTGCTGCAGGGGCCGTCAGCGGGAACAAACCAGGTGTTGTGCACAAAGTGGTGATCGGTACTGAAAAACCACTGATCGGGTGAGATCGGCGGGGTGCGCGCCAGGGAAGGAAAACGCGCGCCAGGTGCGCGTCAGGGAAAGAGCGCGCCAGTGTCTCCTCCAGTCGTTTTTAATGTTTTTTCTCGATTGTTTCTTTAAGACAAATTATGTAAACACCAACAAATTTCCATAAAGCTACAACTAAGGTTAAATGACACGCAGTTTGTGCGTGGAATGACTTTGTTGAAGATTTAAAAAAAGAAGAAGAAGTTCGCCAGTTCCCACAGGCTCTATGACAGGAATGCATGTGAATTTCCACAGTATATCAGGGAACTGAGGTAAACCTGTCAGATTGCGGTTTGTAAGTGGCTGACAGGTAGTTGTTTTAGACTTCTTGTAAGCCTGCCTTAAAATATAAGAAATACTGGACCTCAGTCGAGTATTTTGCGGTCCAAAATTTGAGAGGCAAGTGAGAAGATGCATCCATTTCCACGTGAATGCGTGGATCATCACGAAGTAACCCACGGAGAATACTCTCCCCCATTTTTTATTGTAAGAAATTTAAGATTTAAATAAAACTGAACATCCATTTCCTAAATCTCCATCATCCGGTGGTGGTTCTTATAATTATTAATACAATTATTATTATTATTCAATGTTATTGGATTTCCTGCCCTGCAGGCACTTCAGTTTTTTTCCACTTTTCCTTGTAAAGACTTTTTTTTTCTGCTGGTAAGCAGGTCATAAACTGAAATGTATGATGTCACCATGTCCCAGTTCTTTTGGTACCAGGATGTCAAGTCTTGGCAGGTTTTTTTTTATAACCACGTATTCAAGTTTAGTTCAAAGGCAGAATGTCACCGCAAGTTTTTTTTTTTTTCAATGTGTGGTGAGATTGCTCACCTGTTTTATTTACAGTGAATTGCTGCCCAGAAGGTGTGCTAATGTTTGGTTTTGTGAATTTGTCTATAGACTTCGACAGAATTCCCTGCAGAAATATTTTTGAAAATATACAGGAAAGATTCTGCTGTTTTGATTTTGATGATGTTTGTGTGTAACAAAATTCTTCTACCAAACCTTTTAGGACAATTAATATTGAATCGTGTCCACATATAAGTGACAAGAGATGCTATCAGAAATCCACAGAATGATCTGAAAACAACACAGGCCCCAAACAGAACCAGAAGAATGCTGAACTAAACCAAAGCTACAGATATAACCAAAACCAAATCAGAGTTTTCTGTTTCATGAACAGTTCTATAAAGTTATAAAGTACCTATTTTTCATTCAGCTTAACCAATTCTGATTATTTCTTTTTCTTCAAAATCGCTGAAATTTTGCATTGTCCCATTTAAATCCTCAGAAGCGAAGCTGGTGAGGCAGCAGAGCCGAGCCTCACCTGGGATTGATCAACATCTCTAACTACCAATCGATGGGAGGATGTTCCTCCTGTCTGTACGCCGCCAATAAAATGGCTAAAAAAAACATTTAATATATGAACTGATTTGATTTAATTTAGCTTATGCACATAATGTACATAATGTACAGTATTTGTTGTCTCCAACTGTGTGTGTAACGTGTTTCCACTAATAGTATCCCTACAGTTCATATGAGCTCAGAGGCCCTTAACAGGAAGGAGATACCAAACAAGTCTCAAACCTCTGAAGGAGTCCCATTGTTTCCAGGGAACAGCTATAGAAACGAGTTGGCTGGCTCCCACAAAAGGATGGATGAAATATGCTCCAACACAGAAATGGTTATAAGAGAGAGCTTATATCACACCATAAGGGCTTGGCAGCAGATGTGCTGGTGAGTGTAAGACAAACAGAGAGGCAAATATTTTAACAGGTTCAAAAGAGGCCATGCTGAGCCAAGACTACCCCATAATAAGTCATCATTCATTATATGGTTTGCATGTAAGACGTTGTTTGACACCAACAACCACAAATGATTTCAAAGGCTGCTGTAGTTCCTTCATAAATTACCAACTAGATTTTTATGATGGTTTTTCGAAGTTGTTTTATAACCCAGACACAGTGCCGTGTGTAATAAAGACACTCATAACCTGAGGTTGCAAAGAGTTTGATTTATTTGTACATCGACATGAATTGTTTTAAGAAATCCTTGGATTTTTATACAGATCATATTTACAGAGGTTCACTGTTAGTCATTCAGTTGTCTTGCATGCATCAGATTTTTAATAGAAAAAGGTTTTTGTACATGAAGTTTGACTTGTCTTGGCAGTGTAGTATTCAGACGTGACTCACTCTGTCACTTATGGATCCACGCGATTCGTTAAATCACAAAATGATATAGAAAAAAAAAATTAAGTTGATAAAGATGAACTCAATGCATAGAATTATCAGTTATTAATAGATTAGCACCAAAACAATTAATTCTGTTTTCTTCATATTACTGAAATTACAGCTTGTTCTGCGGAAGCTGCTGGAAAAATGTGTGAACCTGAACCCAAACCTCTTGCAATTTAGAAATGAGTACAAAATATGAAGTGATGTGATAAAAGTTGCTTTGATCTTTGAGAAGTTGCCATATTTTATCTCAACCTTTCTTTAAAGCAGGATTCATTTTTCTGCCTACAGAATCCGAGCCAGAGCCTTAAATGACGCTGATTTACAACAAAAAGCCCAGTGCCAAACATTGCGATGGTACAGATTAAGTAGATGTTTTTTTCCACGTTCCACGTTGCATGCATTTAAAAACAAAACCTTATGTGTGAAGGAGTCAAAGTAGACATTTATCAGTCATTACATTTCTCCAGTCACTGCTGGCCATGATTTAAACACGTGTTTTTCAAGGAAGTGCAAAAATAATGAGTCTTTGTTCTGAGTGAAGCTGCTTTCTTGAGGTCTGAAATTTCAGAGTTTTGTCTTAGTGTCCCATTGTTTCCTAAACTGTTTAGTACTTGTCAGTACATGCAAAAATAAAAACAATCGACCTTTTCGAATACTTTCTGTCGTTTCTAACAAAGGTCATGTTAATTTTGTCTGGCATTTGGAAACCACATTTATCATTGTTGTTTGTTTTTCTTTTACAACCTGCGCAAAACTAGCCATCTTTACAGCTGCAAAACCATCCCAGAGTTTGCATTTCTCCTTTCAACAAGCCTTATTATGAACCTACACTTATACAGGTATCTTGGCAACATACAACTAAACCCACAGATGTACAGCAGTTTTTGATACGATTAAGGCGATCACCACGGAGAGCATGTTTACCAGTACAGAAAGGAATGCATGAACAGCATGTTTGTGATTTTGCAGAGCGAGTGGAAGACGGTTGGGTAAGCATCAGTGCAAATCACCAGCATGTCTCGTTCTCTGACATTTGAAAAAGTGATGAAAGTTTTCCATACAAGCAACAACTGACTTTGTTTTTATGTCCAACAATCAGATAAGGTGATGACAATTCATTCGTTACTGTTTCCACTCCACCGTAACGAATGCAACTGTTAGAAAAAAGCTTCATTTCACCTGTTTAAGCTCTACAACGCAAAAAGGAATTCAAATATCATCATTTCACTTTCAGTCAAATTGGATTTTATGGGATGCACCAACACAATGTAGCAAATAATTATGAGATGGAAATAAATGAATACATGCTGCCTAAAGTTGTTTTTTTTAATAAATATCCTACAAAGTGCAGAGTCCATTTACATTCTGCTCCTTTGGTCGCAAAAAACTTGCAGGTGTAATCGCAGAAAAAGTGGGTTCGGGAAAGTACTGACTCAGAGTTTTATTTTTAAGAAATTTTGACAACACTGTTTATGTTTGGCTTCCACTTCACAAATATGTGAATATGTGACGTGGAAGTCAAAACTAATCACAAAAAATGGTGTTTAAAACATAAATTTTGCAAGACACCATTAGAGAGAAACTGAGCTAAGCTATACTAAGCAAGACTCTGCAATTTGAAATCTGTGCCACAAAACATTTTGTATTAGATGGATCAAACTGCATGTACCAGCAAGTGACGATTCATAACTACATAGAAAAAACAGAGGAACACAAGCACCTCAGTGTTGTGACACACCTTGTTATGTGCTTTACAGAGAAAAGTAATGAGTCATCTTTTACAACAAAGAAAAGCACAAACGCAGACATAAGTTCTGCCCCAGTCCTGCCCTCAAACATTGTGGAAAGATTTTCATGTAATTGCACTTCAAAGCAGCTTATACACTTTTCTCTTTTTGTCTGCAGGAATTAATTGTACTAAATTGTGTCTGACAGGTGATTATACCTTTTGTGAAAATCATTGCTAATCCTATTCACACACAAGTACAATTTAATGGTGACTATGTAGTGTCATCATGAGCAATTATTACATATACATTTTAAATAAGTAATGATGGGCGACACGCAAGGCAACACAACTGAAGTATAAATCATAGCTGCACATCGTTTTCCTGTGCTATAAAAGCCTTTTGCATGACCTAGCAGAGCTGAGACTTTGACATAGTGTTATAAAACACTACAGTTTATAATCTTATCAATTTTTTCATCAGTTCAATGATGACACAACAACTTCACTGTATGCAGTGGGAGGAATTACTCAAACTGTGCTAAAGAAAGTGTCCTTGGGGGACTTCACACAACCATAACACAGATTAAGCCGGAAACTGGAAAAGTGAAAGCGATTCTGTGTTCTCCATATGTATGATAAACAGGATGCTTTGCATTGTTTTGTATATATACAGCTCCAGGTAGAAGAAAAGGACTTTCAATGCACATGAACCTGCTGTGTGATGATAGGAAGAGCTGTGGCAAAGCATAATCTTTCTCTTTTTTTAACCAGACATTTAAGATGGAAATTTCTACAAACATCACACCAGCTCAAGACATAATGAATCACTTTTTTCTCCCAAGACGACAGGAAACTGTGGGTGTTTTTGCATTTGCTTGTTTGCTGACTGTTACTATTTTACAAATTGTTAGACACAGTGAATGACACAAATGTGTGGAACTAATAACACCCCAAAACTGTCTGAGAGGGCAAATATGACTGGCATCCGAATCAAAAGCCAAAATAAAAACCATTGCATGCACAAAACACATTTTTCTTGCTGTCTGACATCAGTCTTTGTTACGTTAGGATGACCAAAATGAGTTCTGTTTGCTAAATGTGAGAATGATGAGAGAAAATGCTTTTGGAGAATGTTTTTCTTACTCTCATCAATTTCAGGAGTTTATATGTCGAGATTAGTTCACCTTTAAACAGTCTGATAAGCCAACATGACGTCATAACAGGTTTAAAATCAGGCAAGATGTCTGCAGGAGAACCGTTCTGCAGAACAAAAGCAAAAGCCGACGTTGCCTGAAGCTGATAAATGTGTAATTCTTGACTGTGAAACGAGTTCTGGCCACTCAACTATCAAGTATCACAAGCCTCAGAGTTAAAAGTTGTGTGGAAGAAAGTCAGTTGAAACTACTGACAGAACCGAGTCGAAGGATTTGCAAGACGAAATGTTTGAAACAAGTCAAACAGCTTGGAGCTAAATCAATCGATATGCATGTAAACTACATAAAAAATATCTTTTTCATTACTTGCATAATTAGCAAACAGAAATATTTCTGGTAATCCTACCTGATGTTAAACAGAAACATTTTACTGTGATTTGAGTGAAAACAATGAATAACAGGTTATGTATCTTTGCAGAGTGTAATATGAATTTCAACTGTGTTTAGATCCAAAGGCTCCCCTGAATAGTTCTGAGTATTATGAAGATATTAGAGGAAAAACAACAAAAGTACATTTTAACTGATAAAAAATATAAATAAAGGAATAAATAATAAATACCCCTCAATTAAGGCACAATATTCCAGGTTTTTGATGCTCTGATGGTGAATACTGGAACACAATCCTCACATGTTTTCAGGAACTGAAGCTCTTCAACATTAGAGATTTAGAAAACTGATTTGCTACATCTTCACTCAATATCAAAGCAGTTCTTTGCTTTCTAACATTTTGGGGGGTTTTGTGTGGTTTTAGTTGCAAACATTTGATGGAATTAGCTAATCAGGTGATGCTGAAGGTGAAAATCAACGTGGCACTAGAGAATATCAGATTTTCTATTTGACTGAGGTAATGAAACCATAATGACCATAATGAGAACAACGTGTGCAACACTGTTCTAATTATGGTTCAAAATAATTGTACATACACACGGATCTGTCCACAGGTAAACATGTACACAGTGCCTCATAAAGACATTCCCACCATTTCCTGGGAAGCCATTTTCAAATTTATTCTGTCCCTTTTGAAACTGGAGCAACCAGTTGACTGTAGAAATAGGAAAATACTGAGGAACAGCTACTTTGATATCATTTCCTTTACATAAATGAAAACAAATCTGGCTTGTTGGAATGGCTTTTCCTTTTGAAAAAATGTCTCAAAGTGGTCAATTTGTGTGCATAAACTTAAGCATTTACAATAATAAATGCTTCAATTTTCTTTATTTCTAGAAATTATTTTGGTCCCTATAATTGTGGTGATAATTTCTTTTTTAATCCCACCTCACTGAGTAACTGCACTTAAATGCAGTGTCGTAGTGTTCAAAACATTTCTGGGGTTTCCACACATTGTTAAACTTGCCACACAGTCTTTTTCTCAGAATCCAGCATTTGCAATTACAATAATTCATGCATTACTTAATTTGGCAGTAATTTAATCTAACAAGTGCCTGTAGATGACCTCATTTTCCAAGGTAATTTCTTTTATTTGCATCATGATGCACCAATTATTTCCAAATAACACTGCACCACTTGTGCCTGAGGGAATGCTATCATGTAGTTAAGACATGTTGCTGCAAAGGCATGCAACTCCCAATGTGAAAGAAGGATTCTGTTTTATCAAACATGTTGAGAAAAAAGAAAACACTTTTGAATATATGCTCATTTGATTTGTTTCCTGAGATGACAGGAAACTATGGGTGCAAAGTTTGACATCCTGGTGTAAATACAAAAAGCCTGCATCCGTAATTTTTGAGTCTATTACATTTTTTAAATCTATAAATGCTTTATTCAGGCTTGTGTGGTGGATATATATATGGCAAATGCATATATATCTTGAGGTCAGAAAAACAATATTTAAAAAAAAGACTCCAGACTGATTTGTGTGCAAAAATAACAGGCTATTTTCATGTTTTGAGGTGTTGCTACGATCAAAAGCTATTCTTCCCTTTAGATTTGTCAGGCAGGTTTCTCCAGCTGCAGGTGAGCTGAACCTCAAACTGCTGGAAGAGTTCAACCAATCAGAGGAATCAGTGTGTTGGCTAGCAGCTTATTGTGATGTTTGATCAGAAACAAATGTTCTGCTGCACCTGAACAACTTGGAGAGGTTACGATGTCACGTACAACAAGTAAAAGGATTAAATAATCACACCAAATACATTTCACTGAAGTAGATCTGAAACCGCGTACAGCAAGCTGCCTTGCTGTACGCGGTTTCAGAGCGGGAGATTTGCAGGAGGATCTCTGAGCAGCAACAACATTAACATTGGTAACATTTTTCAATTGAGGTCAGAAAAACAATATTTAAAAAAAAGACTCCAGACTGATTTGTGTGCAAAAATAACAGGCAATCAGCAAAAATAACAGGCAATCAGATACTTAAACATTGAGGAACACATGAACTTGCATGTACATTAGAAACGCCTTGGCAAGGACCATTCATGCATAATCACAGTGGTCAAAAATGTCACCCCATTTGCAAGCAAAATACAGTGCCTTGCAAAAAATAGAAATTATATATACTGTATATATAACCTTTTTCACATTTTATCGCATTTCAATTACAAACTTCAACTTATTTTATTGAGTTTTTATGTGATGGAAAAAAAGGGAAAAGATCTGCCTTTTTCTTTTTTAGTGAAAAGAAAACTTCAGAGAGTTCATGTCGTATTTAATCATGATAGTACTAAGCAGAATCCAGTGGATAGAGTCCATATGGGTTTAATTTAATGTCAGTGTAAATTTAGCTGCTCTGTGAAAACCTCAAAGGTTTGTTGGAGAACATTAGAGGCTGAGCAGCATCAGGGAGAGCAAGGAGCACAGCAGACAGGTCAGTGGAGAGGTTTTAAAGCAGGTTAGGTTCTGAAAAAATATCCAAAGTTTTAAAGTTATGTCTGCACACGACCCTGAGCAAATTACCTCCACAGAGAAAGCACAGAAAGCTGAAAAGGATCAACAGAAATACAGCAAAAAAATATTTCTCCTAATCATTGCAACATTAAAATAAGATTTTTTTTTTCTTGTCAAACATTTTAAAAACTATTTATTAGTTTCTGTCCAACTCAAAATTATGCCCTACTTTGGTGCATTTTGGTCCATCTCATAAATAAACAATAAAATACAAAGAAGTTTGTTGAGGACAAATTGTGGAAAAAAGGTGTATGGAAACACTAAGCATTGTAGCTTCAGTACAAAATAAATTATGGCTTTTGCAGCCATTTAAAGATGCAGAAAAGAATCAGAACCTCAGCATTTGTTGTTGGTTTTCTACAGAACAGCACCAAATCCTGCTGGAACCTGAGCTTGATCTCAGAAAGAAAAAGCAGAGTCCAAAGTTCATGGCAGCCGTTTTCCTGACTCAGGGTTTAAGACATAAGAACATGGCAAAAATAGAAGAAAAAAAACTAATAAAACCAATGAAACATTTTGTTTAAAAAAAATCAAAATGTCTTCTTCTTAAGTGAAACAGTGAGTTATGTCTGTTATTTCTTTGCCACACTGTGCTATAACAGCGTGGATGTCCAATCTGTAGTGGCACTTGCAGAGTTGGTGGTAACAGCTGAGAGGGAGGTAAGCTCTTCTCATTTATCCATGGTCACATCTGTCTTTGCGACCAGGTTAACAGTGCAGCTGAGGAATCGTCATGTTATAAATCCATTCTCAGCCCAGGAACAGGAATCAAGAAACATGTGATAATGCGTTGGACTGGAGCCGATTGACGACAGACTTCATTTAAGGAGAAATTTTGCGTAATCCCGTCTCCTATTTCAGTCAGGCAGAAGCAGACGGTCACAAAGCCACAAGTCACAGAGTCCTCGCCCCAAAAACAGGGGTCCTAAGTCCCTGGCAGTGTGGATATGGGCTCATCACTGCGGGATATAAGCAGCATTTACTCTCCGGGTCAAATGGAGGACAAGTGAGTGGACTTTGACGTGGGCAGGTCCAGCAGAGCCTGGACGGTCACGCCGACCTTTACCAGACCTCGCTCCTCTAAGATGTGATGCGGCAGACACAATTTGTCCTGGATTAACAGAGAGATCATTCATCACCACCGCTGGCAAAACCACTGATGTCACTTTGCAGCAACACTCACTTAACGGAGACGTATTTGTCAGAGAAATTTTCCTAAATGACAAATTGCACTTTGGGGGAAAAACATTAGAGTCTCAGCTGCAGGAAGCTTGAATGACAAGTGCATAAAAAAACTTGTAGGCCTCTTATAGGCAGCGTCATTATTTTATCATTTATCTTCCATAGTCAATGATTGTTATCACTTAGTCATAAATCCTACAAAACTAAACAAATAGAGAGTGAAAACATGTAAAGTAAAAAAATGTGTTACCTGTGAAACTCCAAGCTTCTTGCACGCTTCCAGGAAGTTTTCAACATTCCTGCGGCATTTTGCCATGCTTAGCTTTGGCTGGAAGCCACAACATTAATCATGTTAGTTGTTTAGAATACACATTCAACTGTTTCATTTTCTCTAAATGCAGCAGTTTAGAGCAAATAATCCATTTGAATCTGGAGTACTTACTACTGCAGGTGACGGCACATGAATGCTGGCAACGGATCGGGGACAAATGTGATTGGCTAGATGGCAGAGGACCACTCCATCCATCAGCGCCGCACCCACATCATCTGGAAGGAGGACCTTCAGTCGGGACTCAATGTTCTGCACACATTAAAGATGACACAAAAACGTCAAATGTTGAAAAAGAGAAAAGTGAGCGGAGTGAAGTTCGCCTGAGCGCGTGGGAGTTTTACGGGAATGCAGGACAAATTCTCTTCAAAAACAGAGACGGTTCAGCTCAAGTAATCTGTTTTGGATTCCTTGTTTTTACTTCTGTACAACGAACTGCTTCCACCTGCTTCAGTCGTCCAGAAGCCGCATTCAGAAATACCTCCTCCAATTCCTCTTGCAGAAGTCACTGTATATGCTTCTTAAATACGACAGAGACGCAACGGTTCAGTGTCTCAGGATGACCGCTGGTCCGCCTCTGGGATTATTTTGAACATGTCTAAAAAATTAAACTCTTCTGGACCATCTTCAACTATTTCTAAAAGTGTCTAGAGTATTTATGTCGGAAAGTGTCACCATCACGTAATAAAATATATATTTGCATATGTATTTTGTGAGGGGAAGGTTTAAAGGTTACATCAGAAAGCAGATTTTTCTGTAACATAAATGTCAAATTAGAGTTTCCTTCACAGTATTGATGATTTGTGCATTACAGAAACAACTTGATCATGCATTGAAAACAAAAAAAAAGACTGGATAAACTCACAAGCCACAGATTGATATCTGCAATTATTGTGACATCCGAATGACGCACAATAGTCAGCATGTTTGAACCACGGTTGGGTGGATCCGATTGTCAAAAACAAAACCAAAAAAGTACATTTTAGTTGGTGTTTGTTTGGAAAATCTGGGCTTATCTCACAACCCGCCGTTATCATGGAAGGACAGGAAATGCTGCTAACAAATATGTTAGAAAGAGACATTTTTAAAAATGTTTGTACTATTTTACTGCTGATGTACATTTGTGATAATGAATCAATGAAAAAAGTCTGGTTTCCAGTAAAACTAAGCTTCAAATTTCATGAAGTTAAAGTTAGAAAAGTTTAAAAATGTAAAAACAGATGCGAAGGCCTCATTGTTTCACTGTACTTGAGGCTGAAATGAGTGAGTTTGTTAATGAGCACCTTGAACGAATATATTTAAACAATGGCTGTGATAGAAACAAAAACTAATTAAATAAATTCATAATTTTTCTACTGGTTGATTAGAAGGGCATTCATTGATAATTCAATGTCTGTGTGGACATATTGAGCAAGATCCTTTTCAAACAATACAGGAAGTTCAAAGACAAAACTGACAGAAATGAACATTTCTTCTTTTTTTGACAAGTTTAATTAATCAGAAAGAAATACTTGGACCTTTGTTCAATTGCTCACTGACTCTGGACAATAATCTCGACACAATTCATCTCTTCTATCAGTATAAAACTCATCTATAGTGTCTTTTGTCCACCTTCTTCTGTGACCTCCAGCTCTCTGCAACTCACAATTTTTCCCTGGGACAAGAATAACGAGACATTTTATTTTCAAAAATATAATGATTTGATTCAAAGTGAAAAGAAAAAGGTGAAACTGGGAATCAATTCAACTCCAGTCAGGAATATGTCAGAGACCTTTATGTGGACAAATACTTTTTGAACTGGTTGACATTGATGGCGTTTCTTGTTCTACTCATGATATGTAACAATCTGGTAATCGAGAAAGGGCGAGTTTGTTGCTTCCATCTTTGCTATCTGTGATGCGGTGAATGGCATGTCGGCTCCGGCATCTGAGATCAAAACAAAAAGATTTCATCTGTTATCTCATGGCAGGGCGGGGCGGGGCGCGGCGCGGGTGTGTGGGTCTTGTTCCCATGGTTTTCATTCCTCGCAAATGTTGGTATGTGATACTGTGATAGCGACTCAGTTATTGCACAATTGTCAGCTGCTCATTCAAGATGGAAACGTCGATGACAAAATCTTCATCTGGGTAAAATCCTACAAAGGATGGAGCCAAAATATGATTCTATCAGGAATTGTCTTGTCAGAAAAAGGCTTGCCTGAAACACTTTGCTTTTCTTATTTATGTTATCACCACCAGCAATACATTTCTTTGGAAAAACAATTTCTTGCAATACCCTGTGAAAAGCGTGCTGTAATATCAAGACATCTCTTTTCTCTGGCATACAAAAGTGTGTATAATGAGCCGTAGTTACCGGCTATACAGGAAAGACCCTATAAGTGCTTCCAAGTGACAGATTATATCTGCTTATTTCCAATTTAAGTGCCATTATCTTGGAAGTCAAAATGATTAATTGGACCGGACTGTTTACGTTCTTTTGTTTAGTTAAAATGCATGTGATTTCACAAATGTTTAGAAAATTTGAAATGGGAAGATTCCTTACTAAGTATAAAAGGAGTGATATTTGTGTGAATCCTATTCATTTCATGCTAAATGTCAAGCTCTGGTCTAAATCCTAACTGGTATCTTCTCAGCTTTTTGACTTTTCTTAAAGGACCTGCCGGTCAAAGGTTTTCATGTTCTAATTTTAAAGACATTTCATTAAAATTCTTGGCAAGTGAAACTCCGGTCCATCAGATTAAGAAATGACTCTGATAATCTCCAAACTGTGATTGGATTACAGGAAATCGATGCTCGTGGCAGATGTTGTGAAAGCACTCGTTGTTCCTGGCAGCGTTGTTGTCGCCGAACTCCTGGATTCCATTAAGATGCTTCACCATGGTGTGATGCAGGCCTGCTGGTTGGATTCAACACTTCTTTTCCAGATTGAAAATGTTTTCCAAATGTTCCAAACAGTCAGATTTTCTCATTAGAGAAAAAACAAATAGCTGCGATTTACCTCTGTGTTTCATGTGGAGCGTTGGCTTCTTAGCTACCCTTTTTTGTTGCATCCTTGTCAAAAAGTGTCACTCCCACTGATGTGCTGCCAACTTTGAGCAAGCTCTGCACCGGTGTGAAAATGATTTGGACGTAAGGCACACTTCTGGCCGTTGCTGGACGTAAATCAATGTACATATAGTTCTAATCTTCTTTGCAGAATTGCTTTAATTTAGCCAGACTGAAGGATTTTTTCCAATTTCTAAATTGGATTATAAGACATAACCTTTCATTTTGGTTTTTAGAGATGTTCTTGTTTAGAGCTTTTCAGGTTCATGTCTTTCTGAACTCAGGTAAGCTTGAGCTTAGATTCATAAAGTCATGACTTGACATTGTGTTTCAGAAAGTAGGCTTCCTGGTTCAAGTTGCCCACATCAAAAATGGCAGCGTAGGCGCTGATCGTCACACTCCAGAAGCTGTCAGGTTTACAGCACATATTTTGGGTACATTTGTCAGAATATAGCCAAATACTTAAACTCAAGTCTTGGTTAAAAATCTTAACAAAAAGCTTTGGTTCAGAAAAGTCTAGTTTATTCTGCCCTTCTCATAACGCCGGGTGTCTGCAACTGCAAGAAATAACACAAACTTTGCATGCAGGTTTTGATTAAGGACACATGCGTCGGCTGATTCCTCTACGGACATTTATTAGATGCATCAGGCTGGATTCAGGTGCTGTTCTACCTGCCAGACTCTCTCATTTTAAACTGAGATGTCAAGAAGATTAAATGATGTTCCCAGAGGTATGACACACTTCATTATCATTTAAGACAGACTGGGATTGTGCTTGAGAGATGCAGAAGAGGTCCGGTGTGCCCTGATGATTGTTCGAGAAATGTTTACGCTTCCAGTTCAGCATTTTGCCCCCAAGCGACCTTCTTTGCTCGTTCCAGCCTCACTGTGGCTCCGCAGAGATGAACGCATCTCTGCTGCCTGACCTGCTTAGCGTTGGAAATAAGTAGGCATAATAAGAAATTAGGCATTATTTATTTTCTGGTCAGGGTGCGACTTGTTTCTGAGCTGTCCGTTCTCCATAGCGCCGCCCCTTTAACTGAGGAATGTGAGCTTTGTTATTCTGGCTACTTGAACTCCTGAATAACTCATTATATTCTGGTCTCATCTGCTCTTTAAAGTAATTTTTGTTTCCAGTGCTGGGAAGATTACACCATGTTTTCCATGTTTCTTCCAGTTATGAATAAAAGTTCTTAATATGTTTTTTCCTAAAGTCTTCTCCAGATATTTAAAAGCTCATATCTTGGGTCTGGATTTCATCTAACTAATGAATGTTTTTCTTTTTCTGAGCCTTCTTTTGTGTTTTTGTTTTCATTTGTGTCATGATCTGGACGTTTTTAAATGCATTTTCTACTGAAAAGCTTTCATAGGCTTTGATTTTCTCTATACAAAGTAACTAATGTTGATTTTTTTTTCTTATGAATTATCTCTTACTGACATTGTCTGGAGCTCTTCCCATTAAAACCAGAGAAGCTCACTCATCCACGTCTCACCGTGGATGAATTACCAGGTTGGGTGTCTGAAGCAGTTCTGTGGTAATGCTGCTCTTTAGTGGAAGTCGGCCAGTTTCCTATGACCATATTTGGTATTTGGAAGAGGCTTTCCGTTCCCTTTAACAAAATTAAAAATCTTAGTTCTTCAAACCTTGATCCAAACAATAAACAATCCTAAGTTGTTATTTGATACTATTGCTGACCAGTTTGTCCAATTATTTCAAATGATGATTGTTGAAATGATTGTCAAAAATAGGATCTCTGTTCCCCTAACGTTTTGAAAAGTATTCAAAGACTTGCATTTCTTTTAGTCATCTCTCTAAACTAGAGCACCGCTGATCATATTCACATTCAATTTCTAAAGTATTTGTCCCACACAGTTACATAAACACTGTTAAATCCTGTTTGAGTGTACATTTTCTCCAGCTCAATTAAGAAAACTCTAGACGTTGCAACACAAACAGGATCTGGCAGACCGTACTCTTCGTATGACTCATCGACTCGTGAGAACTAGAAAAACGTAAACAGGCCGGGAAGATTCTGACCTGCCGTAAAAGGCCAATCTGCTCCATTTCCTCTCTCAAATGCTCCATCTTCCTCCTCATGGTGAAGCTGGGATCTGTCGAGCTGATGTCCTGTCGGGCTCCACGAGTGAAGGCTGAAATGACAAATAAAGAGCGCTGCTCCAAGTTCAAGATGATACACAGTGAAAGGCGTCAAAGTCCAAGGCTCAAATGTTTTTGTAAAAGTTCCTAGAAAACTGCAGTGATTGAGCAACACGCAGGTCTGGAATCGACTGAGAATCACAGGGTGATGAAAGTAAACAGGTTTTCACACACATCTGCAAAATAGATGAGCATATTTCTAATACATTTTACATTATGTACAAAGCAGATGTAATAAGGTTAAGAGAAAATTCCTGTCACTTATAAACTTGTTTAAAATGACATTTCATCAGCTCTAATCAAAACTACGTCTAACATCTTATTCTTCAAACATCCACATAGTTATTGACTGAAATGGTGAATGTTTATCTATTAACATAATAATGCGACTGTTTTTGACTTTTTGTTCAGGTTTGACATTGACATAAACTAAGTGTGAATAATATCATATTATATTATTAATTTGAACAATTTATGGATATCAATGGAATAATTATGCAACATATAAGAAAAAGAAGAACTTCAGAGTTTTGGTTAAAATTTCTCTAATGCACAAGGTTGATAAACAACCTGAGCCTGTGATCAGGTCAACCTTTTACATGCAACTTTAAATCAGAAGAACCAGAGACAGAATGGAAACCATTATCTGTAGACAGATGAAACTCAACAAAAAGCACAAATGGCTTTGGATCAAAACGCTATTCCATACCAACACAAGCACTTAAGAAAAAAAGAGTTTTGGTTTGGCTTGCAATAAATCTGACCTTCTTTCTGCTGATATAAAATAGCTGATCTGTGCTTCAGATTACAGATAAAACAAGAGCATTTTGGCCATTAACAGCAATAAGCCTAAAAGCATGACAGCAAAAGAGCAGAGTTTTAAAAAAATATCATCTGCACCGCTGCAGACATGTTTGAAGAAACAATGAGACAAAACAGCCCATTAACAATTTCACAGTTATGTTTGAACATAAAATGTTGTGACAAGGACTGGAACATCTATAAAGTTTAAAAACTAGTAGGATTTGCCCAATACTTAGAGATGCACACATCAGGCATTCCCCAGATGATGTCAATTTCTGGTTTTCCTGTAGGAAAACCAGAAATTGATTCAGACTTTGATGGATTTTCATGTTTGTTGTTTTTGCACAGCAACATCTGCAGAAGGTTTTGATGACTCATGTCCTTCAAATCCAACAGAAAATGAGGGAAATTCAAGATTATCCCAATCAATAAATAGTGCCAAAATTATTCCCTGAGCAGATTTATTTTTAAAAAAATCATTTTATTCAATGAAAAAGTTTAGATAGAAATGAGTCAAACAGCAGAGGAGAACAGAGATCACAGCCGGTCAAAAGAAGACGGTACTTTGTGTGTGGGATTCCTCCATTAGACCCCACAGCCGAGGGCCAAGATGTTGACTCCTCTCCAGCTGCGGCTCAATCACAAGGACTTAGTTTAAGTAATCTAATAAAATTAAAAGGAAAAGAAAGATTTCATGCTGCATTCCTTCCATCCAGTAAAGCTGAAGTCAAGAAGTTCTTCAAACCCTTTCCTTACACAACATCTGCCCCTGCTGGGGTATGAAAACCCTAATATGTCCTCCAAAAGCCTCCATTAAGAATCCTTCTGTTGCAGCCTTAGGGGAAAGACAGATTTGTTAGATTTTTTTTGTTATTATTTTAATCTTATGATGTGTTCACACCAAAAGCGTTTCAAGTCTCAGGTGCTTCTGGTTTACATTCAAAGTCTAAGAGGAGGCGCATCGAAGGCCGTCGTGTGTGCACTTTTGATCAGTTCACAGCAAATGCGTTTCGAGTGTCTAGCGCAGCGTAATTTAAACTGTTTTGAGCATTTGGCAAGAGCGTCACATGCGTCCGACGCTCCACATTGACTCTGAATGTAAAGCAGATGCGCCTGACGCTCAAAACGCTTTTGGTGTGAATGCACCTTTAAGTTCTTCAGTAGAAGTAAAACAGTCTGAATGCATGGATTTCAAATTTGAGGTCTCAATCGGTTATCTTAGCTCAAAAGGATTCAAGCAACATCCCTGGGACTCTCTGCGAGTCACTAAATCATAACCTGGATCAGATCCAAGAGTCAGTTGTAAAAGAGGGAGAGCAGGAGCCTGATGACGTCTCAGTTTTATTAACCCAAGTAAGGAAGAGCTACGAGACATTCTGATGAAAGTCTGAAACCAGCTGTTCTGCTTAGACACAGTTCTTGGTGTCTAAGAAATGCAATAATGACTGAAAAGGCAGGCAGGATGTAAGACAAATAAAAACGTTTTTTAATAAATGTTTCTTGAGCTTCTTGAAAGAAGCAGGTTAACACATTTACTAGAGCAAAAAAAAATCACCAAACAAATGCCTTCTCTGAAATAAGTATATTTATAGAGCTGACATGGTGTGTATCTGATGCTTTTTTAAAAGATAAAGAGACCGTTAATAACATATTGCATAGCAGAAAATCCTGCCATCCTAGTCAAGTTGCTCTTTGCAAAATGGAAGCCAAGTCAGAAGAACCAACAAGATAGGATCTTATTCAACACTATGTGACCCAAAACCAGCTTGGCAGATTGAAACCAGGGTCACAACAGACATGCTCACCCTTCTCTCCTTTGCTCTTTCCTCACGTCCCCCTCAGCGCTAACAGATATTTTATCTCCAGCTTGAACAGGAGTCAGCAGAGACTCAGACAGGTCAACACTAGAGGATTTTTCAGATGCCTGAGATTCTGTCACCACACAGACAGGAATCAAGTCAGGAACAGTTTGTTCTAACATGTTCATCTCTGTCTGAACCATGGGAGGGTCCACCATTATGGGACCCATAAATCGTATCTCTCGTTATATCACTTCCCTAAATGGACACCATCAAATGGGAAAGATGAGGGAAATACTCCAGAAAAGAACCGTGTCTGTACATGAAGGCGATGGAGGGGAGCAGGTACATGAGTAGGGACTGGAAACTCCCATAGTCCTGCAGCACAAAAGTCAAGTGTGGGTAACATCAGAGAAATCAGCCCTTTAAAAACAAGCTTTTTGAAACCATCATCCAGTTTACACGCAGATCTGTTCCCATTAGAACCGACCTGGTTTTACACTCAAGAAGAAAAAAAACGTCTCACTGCTAACTTTATATGGATGAGCGGTGAAATCGTGTCTACTCAGACTGATTTTATGAGTCAAGGCAGAATTGCAGCATCTTTGGAAGTGGTATCTTTTTACTTATCTCGATACGCCACAATTCATCCAGACATGCAATTATCAAATACTCCGTTAACGTGGGAATCAGCATCTTTAACTTGATATGATGACAGCCAGCGGTCAAAATGGCGCTCGCTGTCATCATGTGAGCCAGCCGAGATGAAAACCGACTAGTTTTCCTCTAGTAAACCCAACATGCATTTGCCGTTGGTCCCTACTTACGTGGCAATAAAGTAAGTAGGGACCAACGTATGAGTACAGACTCATATGTTCTCAAAATAGCAGCTTTTAATTTGCTGTATAATATTCCTCAAAAATAGTGAAGCATGAGATTCTTGAGTTTTTTCTATTGGTTTACACTGTAAAAGTGCAAACCACAAGTCCTGTGGCCAGTTTAATGCAGTTACTATTTGTTCAAAAATGCCAAAACATCAAATTTGTTCAAAATTGCACCTTGCACTAAATCAAGGTGCAATCTGGCCAACCTTAACTAACCGTGCATTTATCTGAGGACTCGTTGGTGACTTCAAGAGAACAGATGGTAATGTGGCAAAGTAATCAGTTCGTCCTGCTCACTCAAATGCCAGAACATAGATATATTCATACAAATAGTAAAATAATGAGCTGATCTGAATTTTTTTTTCATTATGTTTGGGCCAGTAATAAGACAAAATGAAATACCTGCATTATTTGAACCTCTAGGTTCTCAATGCCTGAATGTCGCTGCAAACATCATTGGAGACACACAGTCACAAGACTGAGGAACAGACCATAATGGAGAAACTCACAACTGAAGGAGAACCGGACCTCACATTAATCTGATGACAGTTTAAAGAGCTCATGAGCTCCAAAATAAATACTTGCTGTCTGTTTTGGAACACAGTGGAAATGCCACTTTTGATTCATGTGCATGATATTTAGGTGAATGTCAAAACAACATCTCTGACTTTAAATAATTTCACAGCAGAAACAAACTAAATGACGCAGTAGCTGTTCCTGAATGAACTTGACACCAATTCAACTGTAGATTGAACTGATGGCAATCCACAGGACACAAACCACAAACCAACACAAACCTGAGGTTTGTGTTTTTATTTAAGCGTTTTTGAAGCTTTTCTGTGGTAACATATCTGCTTGTACAAATAAGAGGAACAAATAGTTGCTAATGCCCCTGCATTACTGTATGACTCAATAAAGCAGTAAAGACAGGAATTATTTGCAATCTGATATTGAGTGAAGAAGCAAAATAAAAAGAAAAAAAAATAGTCTGGAGAAATTCCACAGAAAACCCTTCCCACTTCCAGAGAAAGGCAGGTACCAGTGAACCAATCCTGAGTCTGTGCTTCAGCACTTTCACTCTGCACTTATTGTTCAAACTTTGATCTCTACAGATGATAATTAAAGTTGTTTGCTTTTGCAGTCCCCATTAATCCTTGCAGGGTATAATTTATTACAAAATTTATACCCCATAAATTTACATGTCACATTACAGCCACAAACTACAATATACTTCATTGTTGTTTTAATTATTTACCAAAATGAATTGTAACTGACAGTTTTCATAAATTTCAACGTGAAAAAGTGTCTGCATCTGTGTCAGACATTAAATAAAATTCAGTTCTACTTTGTGGAAAATGTTTTTTGCTTGTTTTTCGAGACTTGCATGTTCAGAGACAGAAGATTTCTCTTTTCAAAGTAGCTCAAGCTCAGTCAGACTGGACATCATGGGAGAACCAATTTTCAAGAGAAGCTCTGGACTTTGAGCATTGAATGGAGCTAAATGCACAAATGTACCTCTAACTTTTCAGATTTTCTTTTTGTACAAACTTTTGAAAACAGTTTTAATTAACTTCATAATTATGCATTACTTTGTTGGTCTATCATATAAAATAAAAATAAAATACTTTGAATTTTGCAGCTAGAGGATGATAAAACGTGAGAAAGAATTGTTTTGCAAGGCAGTTTGGGACAAAAATTTTTTTCTTTGGTTACAAAGGACGGTTGTTCTCACTTGGTTTGCTGTTGCCACAGTTACAATATTTGCAGGTAAGAAAGACATGAATCTTCAGGCGGAGCTGAAGAGGAAAACACAGGTGTCATTAATTTGGCAAGCAGAACCTGCAAAACCGAAAGCAGCAGGCACTCATGCATGTCAGGGATATCATGGGAATATACCTGAATAGAAGTGCACACCACACTTTTAAGATTTGGTTGAAGGTAAAATCCTTCAACCTCACAATTAGGCACTTCTTTGTCTTTGTCTGTCACACAAGATTTTAATAAAATATGTTTGTGGTTTCTACAATCTTGAACAAACTGCTATCATATTTGCATGTTGAGAGATTCCTCATCTAGCACGTAAACTTCCCTAGCCCTGTCTAAATTGAATTCTAAACCCAACAGAGTAGCAAGGACAGTAAAAACAGAAAAAGAAGAAATTTGAGGCAAAAGCTAAACACAGCAGGAGCTTAGCGCTTTTATGTTACCTGATCTTGGTTTGAGTCCAAACACTGTCAACGTGGTGCTGAAATCAGCGTTGCACAAACCCTCCTAATGACACAGACATTAGTTAGATAAGCTTTAGGTGAGATGTGTACACAACAGACAATCAGACCCACCTCACAGTCTTCGTTACCGCTGGAATTTTTACAACCGCTCTGACACTTGTACTGTCGGGAAAAGCAAAACATTTCCATCATTAATTTATGATTAGTATTTGACATGCACAGGAGGAGACATGTAATATTTTTCTCATTATCTCATGTGGCATTATTTCGCACAATATAAAATTATGTTCTTCAATAGGTGTACATTTATCTGGTGAAGTAAAAAAAAAAATCCCACAACTATTTGTCTTTGCACAATGTTTTTAGATCATCCAATCTTTTCTTTTAATCTCCTTTCCTCACTCTTGTTTTCTATAGACTGATAAGATTGACTTCGTTTCGTGTTAAATATTTCTGTGTTGATTTGGATCACTGTGCTGCAGAAACACATAAAAGGGCCAATTTTATATTTCTAGGAAACAAGAACACAGGGAAATAAAAGACATTAGAGAGGAAGAAATCAAGAAACAAGTCGAGAGAAATTGGAATGGAACTGATAAAGAAAAACATTTTAAACAGAAAGAAAAACAGCAGAGGAATGAAAAAAGAGAGAGAACAAAGCACAAAAGAGCAAATAAGGTCATGATAAAAAAAAAGAAATTAAGAAAATAAAGGAAGGAATGAAAGGAGGTGTAGAGGAAGAATGGAGGACAGAAAAAGCAGCTGGAGAGTCACAAAGATGTGACTTTTAGGCAATCAGAAGGAATGAAAACTAAATACAAATACTTTTCCGACTCCGATTTGCAGAAAACATAAAAGATAGCAGATTTAAAGAAATACTGAACATTCAAGCAAAAGGTTGGGTTTTTCTAAAATTGTAAATGTAAAAGTAATCTAACGTGAGGGTTCTTTGATATCTTTGCATCCTCTTGTACTAGATGGGAAGAGATGGTGTACCTGCCACATGACAGCATACTGTTGAAGAGATGCACGTCAACAAGCTAATTACTGAAATCACTCAACCGTGACAAAATACTAGACAGATTCTGCCAGCGTTGAAAAGAAAGGTGCAGATAGCAGGATGCTGCAACATGGCCACACCTTCAGGTAATCCTTCCTCAGGTACTTGTTCCGCCTGCGGTCTTCGTTCTGGTTGAGGACAGGAGGAAGTTCGGGCCATTTTGGATCGCAGTCTGATGGTTCTGATTTCAAGCTCCCATCAAAGGAGCAGGAGGACGAAGGCTGAAACGCACAAAGTCAAACGACTCCCGTTGTCAGACCACAGCAGACAGAAGAGCGTGAATTTTGGTAGAATTGTGCATAAAATCTCCGTACCTGCCCACTCAGTACTGAAGCGCCGCTACTTCCTTCATCCAGAGAGGCACTGAAAAAATCAGTACGACTAAAATTAAACAAAAACCTTTTCACTCATCCAACAGAATAGAAAACTGAGGATTTGAGTTTTCTGTGTTTATCATGGTCTCTGTGTAACGGCGTTGTCCCATCTAACCCTTGATTTGTTACACCTGTTCCTGACTGTCTGCCTGTGTATTTAAACCCACCTGTGTCTCTTTCCCTCATCTGTGCTAGTCTGTCGTTTTTGGTGTTTTTTCACCAGTTGTTCCCAGTGTGAGGTCTTAGTCTCTGCTCATCTGTACTGCCTGGATTATTGTGTTTTCACTGCCTTTAAATGATCATTTCTTCACTTCAAACTGGGTCAACTGCATCTTCCATAACCACAAATCCTGACAAAAACATTGTTTGTTATTTGTCTGATTTTAGTGCCACGGGAGGCGTAACAGATTAACCTGATCAAAGCTTTGAGAAAAAATTAAAACATCAACATTGTGCAGATTAGTTGTGCAATTAGCCTTGAATAAAATTTGAGACAATTTCAGCTTGTGTTAATTCAGTGCTGCATTTTTGTCTTTAATTGTAAAATGTAGTTTTATCTGTTTTTAATTGGATAAAATCAGCAGTTTCCCTTTAAGATGAGTAAACTTGACTCAGTGGATTTGTGGCTTTGCTGGTCGACTGATTCGTACCTTCGAGCAGCCTGAGGTGGGGGCCTTGGTTTGCTGCTGGAGTTCCCTGAGTGACTCAGAAACCTGCAAAGAAAACAAGTAAACTGGTAAAACAGGCATGCTTTTATGAAATGATGCAAATCCGGTTAATCGTTGGCAATGAAACAATGTTTCTTCAAATGGCTTAAAATACACACTGCCGGATATTCACTGGAAACTTGAGTAACATGGGACAGCACCTATAGAGTGAAAGTGATAATTCCTTCCTTGCGTAATGTTTCTTTTAACAATGGCACTGACTCATGTCACTACAGTTCAGACACAACCGCTGAGAGGAGACACTCGTCTGCAAGCATGACATGCAAACCGGCTGTGAACGATTGAGGGGGGAAACCTGCATACCTGTGCGCCCTGCCGGTCACCCTCCGCCGGTGGATTAGACTCTCTGCTCTGCAAATTAAGGACCGTCGTCTAAGACATCAGACAAGCCAAAGCAGAAGACAAGCCAAAGCAGAAGGAAGAGATAATTAGAGAACCATCAGAAGTAGGAAGAGAGAGATTACATTTGAGGAGACAAATGAAGAAGATAGAAATGATGGAGCAATGTTTGGAAAAACGAGGGGAAATATCGGCCAGAATCACCAGAAACATAAAAACACCAACACACTTTGGCTTGATGCAAGAACACTGTAATTGATTTTTTTAATAGTTATTTATTGTGATAGACCAATAGAAGTAAATAAATTTCTTTTCAGTGAAACAGATGTGAAACGTTGTTTTGATGGTACTTCTGCAAACATCTGAACACTGAGATTTATGCTCATTTTGGTTTTGCAAAATAATAGAAGATCAATCAGATTGGCTAGTCTGTGCACACAAAAGGCACATAATTATACTTTTCACCTGTTTTTCTGTGAGCAGGCTTATAGAGTTCAACTTAATTATTTTTGACGTATCTAATGTTTAGCTCCATTCATCCTCTTGTTAACTCTAACTTTGGCTAAAAATCTGACTGTCAGAAAGCGCAGCAGTTTTTAAAGAGACAGAGGCCCAATTTGAAGGTGTTAAATCAGGAAGCAAAATTTAATATTTAACATATAGCATGTTGATAACAACTGAAGGAAACTTAGCTACTTGATTATGCTATAGAATAGCACCATGAGCCTGCAAAATACATAATACCGCCCCTTTAAAAGGTTCAAGAGAGAAGAATATTCTTTATCAGCTTTGTGCTACAAACGTAATGTGGAGTGAGGAACAAGGAAGCGAGTAGAAATGTAGGTTTACAAAAAAAGATGAAGGTCTGCCATGAGTGACATCACGGCAATTCCCACCCACCTGTTCTGCTGTTCCTGCTGCAGAAGCTGCACAGCGATCTTCCTCAGATCCAGCACTTCTTTTAGCTCATCATCCTCTTCCTCAGCTAACTGGTCCTTGTCAGAACTGTGAGGAGATGAGGTTTGAGTTTACATTAAAGGCTTTGTTGCAAACTTTAAAAACACACAATTCTGGTCTGAGTTGTTGTCAAATGAACTCATTCTGTGTTTATCTCGCTAATGTATGATTTTCACATGACTGTCTCACTGCAGGCTGCATTTGTTAATGTCAGCAATAGGTGGGGTTGTGTGTACATAAAGGAAGCCAAACCGCCACATTAAATTAAACGGGCAGAAGCTGGAGAACGCAATCTATATCTGAACCAATCAAATGAGAAGACACCTTCAAGGCCATTTGATTTTCTGGTTTTTTTTTTACTAAATAACTGAACTAAGTGGGATTGTAATCCTTATAATCTGGGTTTTATTCAAGTTTATTTGAGTAAATGCTTATGTGTCTAAAACTACTGCAGGATATATAAACATCAAGAGAAAGAGCAACAATAAACAAGTTTACAAAAAACAATGCATGGCTACAGTTTCCTGGTTCTGTCTAACGTCATTCCTCCAACAGGCGCCAGGAACAAATATGAAGAGAGCCAGGTTGTCTTGCTTTAAGCAATATTTAAACAAATGAAAATGCAATGGAAATCCTTCCCTCCTCCTTTTATGTTGTTAATTGTTCTCATTCTATTGCACAAGCATTTCAGTTTCTACATGTCGCTTTTGACGCAGTGTGGATTCATCTTGAGCAACTAAATTTGCTTTTAAATGCTGAAAAATAACAAAATATTGCTTCTATCCACAACTTTAAAATCTGATTATCTATGCAAAGCGTCCAAAAATAACACCAGCAAACAACTGCCGTTAATTCAGTCGACAAATCAAACTTTGAGTGACACAAAGGAACTCTCCCTGAGCCAACAAGGTCTAGCACAAAACCATTTTCCCAGCCAAACTGGAGGCAAAGACTTCGCTTTTGCATCCGTCGACTTTTCAGTGAAGACATTTGTGATGACACTGGTTTGTATAAGACAGACATAGAGTTAAAACCTGATATTTACATGCAGTGTAAAAAAGTTTCCACCAAACAGAACTGGTGTAACTGAGTCAGATTAGCAGACCAACGAGATCACAAACAGATTTTACCACTAATTTCCAAGATGAGATCATGGTTTTGTGACGGTCACTCCAAACTGTGGCTTTGGCCTCCATAAACCACTTTGCAGCTAACATGGCTATATTTCTGGAGTTATTGTCAATTTGAAAGACCCATCTTTGCTTGAGCTACGAATTTCTGGCTGATGCCTTGAGATGCACGGATATAAACACCTCACGGCCTGACAGAGGCAGAAAACACCGAACCAAAACCCTTTCTAAAGTCTTACAGCGTCTGTCTGTGTGGTTTATCTCAGTTTGAATCCAACTGTTCTGTGAATGCCTCTACGGTTTGATAGACTCTTTAGATTGCAATGATTGTATAGTTGTCATGATAAAATCTTTAACATCTTTTCACTTGAATTAAAATGCGCACAAGAGTAACACTCTGGGTCCAGACTGGTTTTCAGATCTTGGGTTTACAGGTAATTCTCAACCTGTGAGGGCAGGTTGAGAATTACCTGCCCTCACAAACTGTAAACACAAGATCTCTGAAGCAAAATACGCTCTATTGTTCCTTACTGTTGTTATCAAAGGCAGATGTGTCACAAACTCTCTCTGACTTCTGGAAGTTGAGTCTGCATGCAGAATGTGAGATAGTGAAGAGAGAAACAGGAAGGTACAGTTTGGCTTTGTCCAGGTGAGACACACCAACCAGGAAGAACACCCAGCAAGTTAACAAGCAAGTTTTATCCTCTTGTTCAAAATGCAGCTGGGTGTTTTTATTCACAGAAGGACGGTTTTTGGATTACTTCCAACTAGGTTCTCAAAAAGAGGAACTGCCTAACAATCAAATTCTTCAACACCCGTGTCGAGACGATGGAGGCCGTCCTCAGGCTGATTTTTTTGAAAACCTTCACTAAAGCTAATTCAGAGAGATTTTTTTTGGTAAAGTTAAAACTTTATGAGCTAAATAAAACGCAAACATTAATTCATCAACATTCTCTAACCAATGATGTAACTCATAGTTTAATTACTGATTATTTTAGATCCAATATAATCACTGAATTTAGAGTTAAAGTGCTGTCATAGTAGATTCCTTTTGTGAAGTGTACAGTGACTGTTCCCTTCAGAAAGTCAAACTTGTGACAGATTTGAGATTTATCAAATATAATTATTTGTCAGAAGTGCTGCCTTATTTGTCAAAGGAAGTTGTACAAAGTATCAGCTGCAGTTTTACCAACACTTCTGGCACCAGTGATTCTGTAGTAAACCAGTATTGCTCAGCAGGAGCATATTTCCCCACATAAATTTGCACGTAAGGTGGGTTTTACTTAATTTTTCACCTGTAAGATTATGCAGCTGCTATGACACCTTTTATAGCCGGCAGTGTTGTAGTCAAGACCAACTAACCAGAGACCAAGACAAGACCAAGACTGAGGAAGTCGAGACAGAGTCAAGAACAAGACCAGCGCCCCGTACTACATGACACAATAAAATGTGAAATATGATCAAAATTGCTTCTCAAATTGATCTGAAAGATTCACATTCCCATAAAAACACGTAGATGTTAAATACTTAGAGTTGAAATAAATGTAACCATGATTAAAAGCAGAACAAATTCTTTGCGCGGTGGTCTCATGCCATCCCAAACAAGATAACGCCCTGGGTGTTTGCCCATGTCATTCATGTCAGAAACCATCACTGTCTGCACCATTAAACGTAGCAAGTAAGGCAATGCATTAACTGTGAACAATGCTCAACTATGAACACTGACCAAGGAGCAACAAGCGAGAAGTAATCAAGCACAAGGCGCTCATGGTGACTGTTCTCAGCCTCTCTCCTGCTGCACAAAGAGCTGTAATGTCTCCCATCATGACAGGAGACAAAAACAATCCAAGAGCAATGTGCATGCTCTGCATGCTTTTGTTCTTGTGTTTTATTTATTTTCTTGAAAACCAATTTATGGAAATGAATTTCCTAATGAAGTCTGCATGTGCTCTGTTTTGACCAGTGATGCAGGATTGCTAGAAATAAGTACCAAGAGATAAAGCAGGCTCAGAAACTGGACACATGGATGCATCGGCCGGATCACACTCCAGTGTTTTACTGGCGCACTTTCAGCTTTGCTCTATAACCATTTGGCCTTGTGTTGCTTAGATTCAACATGCAGAGTTTCAGATTTCAGAGCTTCAGGATGAAACTGTTCAGAGTTTCATCCTTTTCCTGACATCTTGTAGATTTTGGAATAACAGAAGAGTATAATTCATCTCGTTCAGTAAGGCTCTAAGATGTTTTGACATTTAGATATCGTATGAGTAAAAATTATGTTTATTCCTTTCTGATCTGCTGCTTCCTTTCATCATCAACTTCCCTGCAGCCCTTCGGTTGTTTCAACTCTTGTAGTCCACTGTTTACATGGACAAAGCTTTCTGACTTGCATCAAAACAGGAAAGAACAGAATCAAACTCCGGATTTAGAGACTTATATATATATATATAGAAAAGTCACAAATGTTTACAGCATGTCAAAACAACAGCTGCATAGCATCTGTACATGCTGGGGTTTTTCTTATAATGGTGCTATAACTCAAAGTGCTTTGCTAAATCAGTAACCTTTTCCACTGTTGTTATGTAATAATAACAAACTTTCAAGAATTTGTTTGGGATTCTGTGAAGCAGACCAACAGGAAGTTGTTTAGTGGTTTTAAATTTTATGAGAAGAGTACAAAAAATGAGAAGTTTATTTTTTTTCTACATTTCCTAGGCTAAATAAAGAATAAAATCCAACACAGTTCATCTGTGACTCAATCGCAGCTGGTTTGTGAAGGATTTATATTTTGGACATGGATACCAAAAACAAGGTTGGACAGAGCAGAAACTGAAAACCTGATAAATACTCCAACAGCTGTAGGTATGGCGTTAAAGTTTAGATCTTTGCACACAGATGCTGAATTTCAAGTATGACCAAGCATTAACTAATTTGCATGAAAACTATGGAAAATGTGGAAATGTTTGGTCAACATATCCCAAAAGGCCTGCATATGTAACTGAAATGAGTTCTGACTCAAAATTCAGGCCACACCTATTTTTATTTTTTCTTTGAAACCTTGTATTTTTTTCTTCCTATTATGTTATGTGAAGTTTGAATGAGTAATAAGGATAAAAAAGAGCAGATGTTGTGCCATCCTGTGAGCCTGCGTCCGCAGACAGTGAGTCATTGACGTTTTTGCCATTTGTTGCATCCAGAGAGCCCCAGCAGTTTTCGCCTTTAAAGCTCATTTGCACGTGAATCAGAGAGTTGATTTCAAACTCACCCGGACTCCTCCTTCCAGCTGTCTTTATCTTTACATTGTTGGGACATGTTTAAAACTTTCTCCAGCTCCTGAAACACACCCAAAGCAACATTGCATGAGGATCTGGACAGCAAAACTTCCCGTTTGTTATTTTTGTTTTTTTAAGATCTTGAAGAAAACACAAACATATGCAGGTACCTTTATACAAGACACATGGCTGCTTTGCTGCCCATCTTTCTCTAACAGAGCAGGATCCTCGTCGGGGTTGGGCTCTATAAAGTCATACAGATCCTGATCTGATAGAGGGAGGAAGCATCCGCGTTCGTCACACAACTGTCACATTTTAGGCACTTCATTCTATAACCCCCATGTGTCTTTGTTATTGCTGTCAAAGGGAATGTGTGATACTTATTTTGGGTAACCTTTGCAGGAGTCCATTTTGGAGAGCAGGGACAGAGCGTCGGCGCGGGCCGTCTCTGAGACCTGTGAGTGGAGGCTGACGGTGTCGTCGTCTGAGGGCTGCGGACATTTAAGAACAAAACCAACCTTATTAGAAATTACTTTTATGGCCTGGTGATGCGACACAGAACATGCGTTAGAATGGAAATGATACAACATAAAGATTCCTTTTACTTGCTTTTGTAAAACATTTATTTGTCTCAACCTTCATCAATCAGACATCTGTGGTATGCTGCCTTTGACGTGTTGCAATTCTTTCGCTCCGAGGCACAAACTGAAATATCACCAACAGGTGAATTATGGTATATGTGGTTTGATTCGCTCCACATTCTCTCCTGTCAGCTCTGATTCATTAAATTATTTCAGTTGATATTCCTTTGTCCATCTGCCGCCGTTTTTCCACTCAGCGTTGTCGTCACAGACAGTTGAAACCTGACGTTTGCTGACGCGACATACAAAAACACATGCATTTTTTTCACACTAATTGATGTGAAACCAATAAACTTTTCCAGTTTTAGGGTCAATTACCAACATTTTTCTATTTGCTAATTTCCAGAATAATGAGAGAGAAAATTTGTTCTTTGTTATTACTTTCTTCTAAGTCAAAATACAAACACACTTCATTAGTATTTGGTACCACTGGCCTTAAACTGTAAGATTTAGATATAAGCTTCTCAGAATAGTTGGCAGGAATTTTGGCCCATTACTCCTGACAGAACTGGCGTCGGCCATGTTGGTAGGTCGCCTTGCTCGAGTCGCTGCACATAAATTTTCATTGGGATTGAGATCAGGGTTTTGTGATGTCTGCTCCATAACATATTGTCCATTTGGAAAACACATTTGGACCCAAGCCTCTTCTTCCTCTCTTCCAGAAATGATGGTCTTTGTCCCCGTTTGCATTTTCAAACATGACTCTGGCTTTTTTATGTCTGTTTTGAGGTGATGGCTCCTTCCTGGCTGAAGGAATGGACTCATTTCACTGAGGATAATAACACATTCTTATCATCTTCAGCCAGTATCTTCACCAGGTTTTTAGTTTTTGAGTTGATACACTCATTTCGGACCAAAGAATGTTCCTCTCGGATCTCTTAAAGTGTTTTTAAATTTGTGATTTTGAAGAAACCAGTCAAATAATTGTTTTCTCATTATTGTAATCCTTGGTAATCCTAAATGACCAAAAACAGAAAACAATTTGTCTGATTATGTGTCAGAAAGTGTCAAAAACGCAGATGTCTTTGTATAATGTATGTAAACTTCTGATTTTAACAGTACACTTTGTGATTGAGGTTTTACGTCTCTATTATTTCCTTTTTATCCTCCGGCGGTTCACCGCCTTCCATTTTTTGCGTCGATATGTCTGTGCAGTTGGTTTTGTTTTTGCAAGTTCAAAGCTGGATTGACAACTCAAAGATACCAATGTTTTTCTCTTCAGCTCTGACTGACGAGACATTGTGTTATTTCAGCTGCCGCAGCCCAGGAGTTTTTTTTATTAATCATTGTAACCATAAAAATAACAAACCAAATGAGAACAATAATCCTTTGACATCAGAGTAAAACATTGTAATCCTAAAGTGCTTTGCAGAGTATTACACATTTTCCACATTCTGCCATGCTCCAGCCACCAAGTCCAATGTATTTTATTGGGATGTTATGTAATAGGTTAACAAAATTGTGCAATATTAAGTTAAAGGACAATGAGAAATGCTTTTCAAGATTTCCTACAAGAAGGAAAATTGGAAAATCGATATGTGAATTTATTTTTGGTTCTTAAAAAACAAATTAGAAAGAAACTAAAGGCTCTTTGAGACATCTGTGACCATCACCCATCGATGTGTTTGAACTCTGACCTCTGTTGTCGACAGCCTCTTGTCACCATTGTCACTACCAATTCCAGAGTCAGGCCCATGATTCTTACTGGGATAAAAATCTTCCATGCTGTAAATATACAAAACAGATTGAAAATGTTAAAACGAATAAACTACTAATTAGGTTGGGATACATATGATATGACATAATGATGAATCTGTCGTTGCCTGTCAGTGAGGGGCTGTGGAAGACATCGTTTGCTCAGCGTCGGGAGGTCCAGGGTGTCTGGCTTCTTGTCCATTCGACAAGCCTGGATGTTCAAGTACTTGAAGATATGCACTTTGCCCTTAAGGCAAATCTGAAATGCATAAAATCCAAAACTGAACTCAGCTCACTGTCAATTACCACTGCAGACAGAATGATCTCCTCTCAACCACTAGATGGTGCACTCGTATCAGGTTCATCTCATTCTTGTTTTATGTTCACAGGTAAACATAAGCATGTCTTACTTCATACATGAGCACAACACTGGAGTGAAATAACTCACCTGTGCAGGAGGAGACTGCATAGGATTATTGTCCAAGATGATGTACTCCAGCTGCCTGAGTTTCCTGAAAGCTGGAGGAATCTCTGTGATTTTATTGCAGGAGAAGTCAAGTCGGATGAGAGGCAGATCTGCCAGCTCTGAAAAGGAACAAAATGAAACCCTGACACAAACAGCAGAAATGTAGGGGACACGTTTTTCAACATTTCACCAAGTTCTAAAGTCCTTCACTGGCTCTTGAAGCTTAAAATCCTGTTGTTTATAAATCAATGAAACACCAAAACGCATTAAATCTGGAAGCAGATCTTCTGGTTCTGGTTCTGCTCTGCATCACCAGAACCAAAACTAAACATGGAGAATCAGCATTCAGCTTCTACGCACCACAAATCTGGAACAAATTTCCAGAAAACTGAAAAACAGCCAAAAAATTGACTTCCTTTAAACCTAGACTAAAAACTCTCATTGTGGTTAGTTTAACAATCTTCATGTTCCAGTGATACAAAAATCACCACCGCGAAAGAGTGTAAGTCTGACCTTTAATTACCCAAATAAATTCTGACTAAATATGAACCCCAGTGGATTTAACCCTCTTTAGAGGACGTTTTCTAACTTTCTCCAACCTAATAAAACTCATTTCTCTTTTCTAAAGTATTTAGGAGCCAACTTTGCTTTTACCAAGAAGCATCATGGAAAATTATTGAAGCACACAGGGGGTTTAAAAGCATTTCATAGCCTAATAATGTGTAGGTTGTAAATTCCTTCATTGTGAAAAATCTTGACGTCTCACCAAATGAAGATATTTCAACACTGACAAAGTCTCCGGTTGCATCACCAAAGTAAACAAGTGGAAACGGTTGATGCAGGTTTTAAAAGGCAGCAGATGCATTTGTTGCAATCGATCTTAATGGCTTTTTATACATAGTAGTCTGCTTACGGCTGAGTCAGCATTGACTGAAACACTTCTTTCGATCAAAATTTATTTTGATTACTAAAAAAAGAGAATAAAATCAATACAGATTTTAAAAAACAAAGAAAATGCGAGAAAAACAAACACAGTGAAGCTGGTAGAGGAAGGCTTGCCTGCTGAATGTAGCTGGTGTTTTAAAAAGTCAATAGGGCCCCCGACTGAGCAAATCGATTACCCGGCAGGGTGCCTACAGTCCTGTCAACCTTAAACTTCTAGATAAGATGTGGAACTGCAATAACAGCGGCACCAAACTGTATGGATTTAGTCCTATAACTTAAAATGTTTGTCTACATATTTATTTCTAATCTGCTGAGTCTTTCAACATGTTGCAGGAAGCTGGAATCGACTTTCTGTGTCATCACTCTACTTACTGATGGTAACCAGATCTTGTTAAATAAATATATTTTCAATAATATTAATATTTCAGCTCTGTAGAAACAACAGCGGCTTGTACATCCTTGTTACACCTGATTCAACTGTACGAAGTTGAAAAGCAAATGAATTCATGAAAAATAAAACTTGACTTCAGGAAATGTGAGGCTAGTGTAGAAAATCAGGGAATATTTAAAGTATTAAAATCAAGGTGAGAGGCTTTTTATGACTGCCCTCATTGACATGCATGGAAAGGGAATGAATTTATGTTTTGTTACGAATGAATATGGGATCCAGTTAAAATATTCCCACACTCCAGTGACAGCTCAGTTCATACTGGCCTTGGTTCAAAGGAAAGTGTGAGGAGGATTTTTTTACCCCAAAACCCAAAACCGCTTGATCTCGTTTGATTCTATGACGTTCTTTTCACGGTGGTTTTCATTTCTTGGCAGTTTTACTTTCTGACAGCATCTCATGAGCGAATCTGCCCATAAAAATGACTAAGCTGGCTTCCAACTAACACTCTGTCAGAAAGTAGATTTATTGTCCAGTCAATCAGATTCTTGTTCATCTGTGAAATATAAAACTATTTTAACAAGTTGTGTTCCACTTGGTGACATTTATGACTTATGTCATACAAATCAAATTTTTTATTGGTCACAAAACTATTAATCAAGTTTAGAAATTGAAAACGGATTGCCAAAGAAACCAACATGACAGGAAACACAAAACAAAAGCTTCCAGCCAAGTGTTTTTTGGCTCTCAGAGTTCAGCCACGCTTGCCAAAATCCACAATGCAATACTCTGACGACGCATCCAAAACTCTGAGAGCTGCACGGTGAGATACAAACACTGACCCTCGGGCAGCATGTGAAGACAGTTCTTCCTGATGTTGAGTTCACGTAAGGCTTGGAGCCTCCCCACCTGCGCCGGCAGGACCTGGATCTCGTTGCAACTCACGTCCTGGAAGTGGAGGAAAAATGTGGGAAAGCAGAAACACTCTTATCTGTCAACGTGCATCACATCATCGGGTCAAATGCACAGATGCCTCGGCAACGCTCACCAGCTCCATCAACTCTTTGGCCTTGCCAATCTCTTCAGGGACAGATACCAGTTTGTTGTTGCTCACAAGCAGGACTTTGAGGGGGAGATTGAACAGGTGTTTTGGTAGAACCGACAGGAGATTTCGGCTGTGGAGGAAGATAAAACATTGACCTACATATCAAAACTGAGCATAGAGGTAGTGGGAATCGAGTTTCAGTACAAAAAGAGGAATTGTCTCCTGTTCGTGTGAGCTTGTTTGTGCACAAAAAAGCAGAACAAGCATCTCTACGTACACATAAAGCTGCAAAACATTAGCTCTTACTTTGACTGAATGCAATAATAGAAACTCATGGCTCACCTGATGTCAAGATAAGTCAGCATCTGCAGATTGATAATGGCTTCAGGGATGGATTTGATGCAGTTGTGGTAGAGGTTGAGTGATTCAAGTGGGGCAAAGAGACAGACCTCTGGGGGGATGTCTGCCAGATGATTCTTGGATAGATCTACAGACAGAAACAGAAAAAGTGTTTACTTCCAACATGCAGAGGTAGGATACCCGTAAAAGCCCTTTTACGGTCAAGGCAACATCCCAGTGTTTGATTTAAACCCAAGAGGCCATGAGCTAGAAAGACAGATCAATACATCTCTGTGACAGACCAGTGGCTAACATGTCTTCTTCATCGAACAATGGTCTAAAATTACAGAGGAGTCCGAAGCTTTGACTGTCTGAGTGCTGCTATGGCTGCATCTTTCATTGACCTTAAGACTTGTAACAGCCTTAGACTTGTGCTGAACTCAAGTCTTTTTCTTTGCTGTAAAGCAGCAGATCTTTTGTGTACTGTTGATAATTTGTGGTAAAGTTAAGGAAATTGGAGGCCTTCCGTCTTAATTTTAACGTTCAATTTGTTTAAAGCGCCTGTCTGACAGTAAACAGCTCAACCCATAATTTTTATGTGCAGCCCACAGATTGCACCTCCATCAATCGGCTACATCAGCTCAGTCTTGCAGAATCACTGGGGGTTTGTGCTTACTTCTAACGGTCACTGGGAAAGAGGAAAGGCATACTATAAGCAGATCATCAGTCCATCGAGCATACACACACACACACACACACACACACACACACACACACACACACACACACACACACCTGAAGAACATTTGGAAAGACCCGTTCGTTTGGACTGTGGGAACTGAGAGAACCTAAGCAAGCACTGGAAGAAGATGCAAACTTTATACAGCAGACTATTTAAACTATGCCAGAAAGCTAGTGCCAGAAAATGAAATAACTTCAATGACCTCTTCAATTTCTGCCAAGAAATATTCTCTAATATTCAGTTAGAAGAACCTTGTTGACAGCTAGAAAATTATGTAATCTGAAACAGAAATTGCAAAGGGAAATTAATTCGAGCATTATCTGATAGGCATGTAAATATTTAACTCTGTGTATAATTTTAGACAACATTTGCATAAAATTCTAATCGGTTTAAAGTAGAAGTTGGTTGTTGTACAGCAAATATACTAGCTAGAAACGAAAACTGTTTTCCATATGTGGACTGAGGTTGAGTTGCTGCTGTTACCTATAATGTTGTAATGGAGATAGTGCGTCTACAATCCAATCCCTGCCCTGGTCAGATCTGACAAGGCAGTTTGATGTGTTGCCTTTAAGTACAGGTAATACAGGTGTTTGCTGATATTAATTTATTTTTGCTCACTCTCACAAGCATTAAAGAAAGAGCCTCCTGCCGACTGCAGTAGGTTTTGCTCCTTTGAGAAGATAAAAATAATCAATTTGAGTCAGCAGCTCACAAACAAACAAACAGCAAAATTAGAGAATATGTGCATGCACAGGGAAACTGTTCATGAAAGAGAAGACTGATGTTAGTCAACTGATTTTGCAATTGCTTTGCATAAGATTATATAAGCTAGTCCTCTTCATATGCTGACTGAACCTTATCATCATAGCATAAAGTAAATGTTGTTAAAGCCACTGAAATTTCATTTATGTAACACAGGTAGAGAAAAACAAATGAAATTGAATTTTAACAAGCTAACAACGCCAATTGAAGACAAATTTACTAAATTTGCTAATGTTCAAAAGAGACGCCTGAATAGTGAGGCGTAAAAGGATATAAAAGGATAAAAGGCACTGCTATGAACTTTTAGCTTGCACCTCAGACATTTTTTTTTTAAAAACACTTTTCTCTCTGAGTTTTAAAAATTATCACAAGCCGAGATGGATAAACAAATTAAATTTAAAACCAAAAGACTTTAAAATTATAACGTAATATTTCAAAAATAACTCGGCGCATTAGCAATATTTTAAGGCAATATATTTATAGATGACATAACAACTGTAGTAATCAATGTTTGGTATTATTATCTTCAATTTTAATTAAAGGAAACTGTAATATACAGTTCAGTTTTGTTTTTTTGTACAAACAATCTAATGTGGTATTTTCACCAATGGCCATGATGACATTATGAATATTTCATAATGTTAAAAGATTCAGCTTGCATTTTTAGAACATGTCAAAACTCTTGCTGAAATATAAGTATATATAAATTAAACTACATTTATTGATGAGAGCCTTTTAATAACCAGTTTAATATAAGTTTTCATGATGAAAAATGCTGACTTATATCATCACTTGCATTTAATGGATCCAGACCTATTTTCTGTTTTCCCATCATTTGTCAAAGAAAGTATTTCAAATGCTTGATAATTTATCACATGATGAGACACATTGGAAACTGCTGAATGAGGTCAGGATGGGAGAGGGAGTTACAAATTGAAGCGAATATTTTAGCTTGTATGCTAAATATTTCATAGCAAGAGGAAGATGCAAATGTAAAGCTGCACTTAGATCCAGTAATTTTAGGACGGATGAGATCCATGCTCTTATTCCTGAGCTGATAAAGCTGTCCTAGAGTATAGATGCAGATATTAGTGAAACAGAATACATAATTGAGAGCATTTGAAATTGGACATTGTCCTTTTTTTTTTAATTACTATTTCAAGGCTCAAGCCTGAAAATTACATCAGCTCCACTTGTGACATAAACAAGCATAATCTGAGTTAAGATAACTTTCACTGAGATTTATTGTCATCCTCCTTATATTCAGTAATTATATAGTAGTCATAATAGTAGTCAGTTTGTGTGAATAAACAATAATCTTAAAACAAGCTACAAAAGTTAGCTAATAAGCAAGGAAGCTAGCATATATACATATTTATATATTACTCCAATTCTCTTCAAGCCATTCCTAATGCTAAATAAATGCTATTAAACTCAGTTCAGTCCTTGTATAAAAGTGAAGAACAGATAGTTGGTTTGAAGAATAAGTTAATTTATATGTTTCCTTCCAGTCATTGTCTATATGCCCTCTTATCTTTGCAGGGTCACGGGTGTGAGGGACGCAGTCATTGGGTGAGATATAGAATAAATCATGTAAATACCACAACATTAATTCCTCAATTTTTTCTGCTGCCTTTGTTGTTTCTCAAGGTTTCCAAATCACACACCTAAGATATTTCCATAAACAGTCTTGAAAAACACAAATAACTTGTTTCCACTTAAAGCAGCATCTATCCAAACAGGCTTCCTTCCATTTACCTTCCAATAAACATTGATTTAATGGGTAGAAGTGTGTGTTTGGGTGTGCATGTGTGCGTGCGTGCGTGCGTGTGTGTGTGCATAAGTGCACAAGTGCATGAACAATCTTATTTTCTGAATTATCTCCGGCTGACAAGATAATTAGAAACCTCTGTAAAGAGCTGCGTGGCCTGAGATAAACAGAGCGCTTTCAATTATTCTGTCCCACCACAGAAGACCCCCATGCTTTCTACTGAAAGAATAAAGACTGCAGCGTTTCCACCATCTGAAAACCAGTCATTACATGCGGTTACCACTTTATTAAACAATCAGGCTATTCACGTGAAAGCAACCACTCTAGTTTGGTTTGGATTCGCTTCACTTTTTAACAAGATTTGACAAATTTAGAAACCCTCACCACTAATTAACTGTGAATATATTCACAGACCTCTCAGACCTGAACTCTAACAGTGACGGCACAGTCAGTCAAGCAAAGACAAAATAAATGTAGAGGTTAAAGGGAACAGAAATTACCACAGGGAGGGACACCTCATGGGAGGTTGTGGGGTACACTCGCTCTCCATTAGGAGTGGCCCCAGCGACTCCCTGAGGCTCTGACTGTGATGATGTAACGCAGCTGTGCACAGACTATCCACCTGCCAAACAACTGGGGATTCCTCCTTAGCACTGGAATCATGAGGGTCGACGATAGCACGATACGGGAGGAGGGATTCAGGGGTCTTTTGTACGCTCATTTCTGTCTCCTCCTTTTCCAGACTGTGCACCATCTGCAGGCCGCAGCGGGTCTTTAATCCACCTGCTGGTTTGCTCAGAGCTCCCACAGGACAAAGCCTGAGGCAGAGGAGCACTCCATCACGGATCCACTCCGCTGCACCCTTAACGCTGCATCGCCAATAGATTCATTAAGGTTGGAAGTGCAGATAATATCCTTTCTTCCTGTGACACAGCAGAATCTCCAATAATAGATTTCCCATCAAGGTTTAAAGCAAACTAAATGACAACAAGCATTACTTTTTCATGAAGTACCTGAAAATGGATTAGTAAGAGGTAACAGATTAATACTGAACAGTGAAGGCACAAACAAAAGAACTTCCTAATGGAAAGAAACATGATGCAAACACAATAATTAACCTGCGGTTAATTGTCAGCACCCTACAGCAGAAGTGACCAGCCTGTTTGTCTGGCCCCCAGTAGCTTTTGTTCCTGCTGGTAATATGGGTCTTTGTCTATGAGGCCACTGTGTCAAGGGGCAGCTCAAAAAGATGATGAACCTTCAAGATACCATGTATTGCTCATAAGCATGTTCACTCTCTGTGGAGTGAACACTCACCATGTATTGTGCACACAGTAAGTACAGTAAGAATTGTAAGGAAATAAAGTTGCATCCTTCATTTTAAGGACTCTAGATTTCATCTGGTCAGTTCTCTGATGGTTCAATACTTAGTCTGTTTATTAAAACAATTTGACATTCAAAAAAAGACATTTGCACAAACAAAACAGGCTTTTTAATGCTTTTTTGGCATCAAAAGAACCACTGTGAAAGACGAGAATATAATACAACATACAATACAGATTTGATTGTGTAACACCGGACTGCTTGCTTAAAAGCAGTCAGTTTAAAGCAAAAATCAGTTTTGTGGAAGGAATGCAAAAAAGTAAAAAAAAGGTTAAACCCCTTCCTCATTCAAGGGACTAAAGTTTAAATCATAAGAATCCAAAATAGGTCTCATTTTGTGGTCCAGTTGACTGACAATGTGCAAAATAAATAATCTTGGTGGCCAACTGACTGAAAATGTCCCATACTTGCTTGCTGTATTAATCACACATTAACTTGGTTCATGTCCAGATCAAATACTTCAAGCACACTTCGTAAAATATTTAGCTGC